CTTACCTGAATCGTGTCATAGAAACATTAAAACAAGAGAACGTAAAGAAATTAAGGACAAGGTGACGCAGCTTTTTGCGTCGGTGCATCAAATGTACGGAATTGTATCAGCATATCGTGTAGAAAGAGAGGAACAAAACAATATACTTCCTAACTTATTAGAAACAATGAATGAAATAAAGATCAAGAACTCTCAACCCAACCAATTTGCTGGGCACCTTACTTACGCTGAAGTAACAAAATCCAACTTGAAACCAAGCAATACGACGAAAACCATTAATAACAATGGTGAACAAGGAGGCAATAGCGCTGTACTGGTGTACCCAAGTGATGAAGAAGAAGGTGCGCGAACAGACATAAAAGAGATCACAGAGCAGATTTTTGATAAAATTCAGCCACACAAAATAAGGGTTAAAATCAAAGAAGTTAAATTAATAAGAGACAATGGTGTGTGCATAAGGGTCGGGAGTGAAGAAGATGGGAAGAAACTAAAAGAGGAAATAGGAAAGATTCAAGAAATAAAAGACAAGATTAAATGTAGAACATCGGGAGGCAAACGACCAAGGGTAATATTACTAAACGTCCCACAGTGTATCCCTGAAGAGGAGATAATAGAAGTAATGACCAGACAAAATGACATTTGGAGGGGTCTGGAAAAAGATAACATAGAAGAAAAATGTACCATTAACACAGTTATCAAAGGAAAGAAAACAAAGGAGAACTGTCATCACGTTGTAATCTCTGTAACTCCGAGCATAAGAAATATACTGATAGCTCACAAGACAATATCGATGGCTTGGACCACAATAAGAGTGGATGACTTTGTACCAGTGAGACGCTGCTACAGATGTTGTGGTTTCGGACATATGGCACGTGATTGTACCGAGCAGCAGAGGTGTAGTCACTGCTCAAGAGGTCATCGCTTCAAAGAATGTCAATTAACAAACACCATCCCATCTTGTCATAATTGCAAATTAACTAACAGGAACCTCCCGCCGGAAAAGAAACTACCGACGAATCACAACGCATTCAGTGCTGAATGCCCAGTGCTAATAAAACTGAAAACACAGATCATAAAAAGAATTGACTATGGAATATAGAAACAAACAAATAATCACTCGGTTACCCAAAGGCACTACTATGCAAAGAAATAAACAAAATAGTAACGACAATGCTTCTGATAATTCAACTCTGTCAATCAATAGTAACTACGATGTAAACTCTTCACATCTGCGTATTTTACAGATAAATATGCAACACAGTAAAGCGGCAAGCTCACTCGCAATAAAGACGGCCAATGACTTAGATGTAAACCTATTAATAATACAAGAACCTTATACTTTGAACAATAAAATAGTAAGCTTCGGAGGATGGAGAGTATTAACTACAAGAAACGGAGAAAAACCGAAAAGTGGTATAATAGTGAGAGACAACAACCTAGATGCTGCTTTAATTCCAGATTTAACTACACAGAGAATAACTACTATTGCCATCCAACAACAGCCACAACTTTATATTCTTAGTATATATTTTCCCCCTGATGATGATGATGATAATTGTATTGAAGAACTACAAGATATAATCAAAAGCCTTAACAGCGACAACTTCATTCTGGTGGGAGACGCAAATGCGAAATCTCCAATTTGGTATCATTATAAAGAAGACCATAGAGGACGCCTGTTAAGTGATTTAATGGACAGATATAACCTATACTCAGCAAACACTACTGATCATCCTACCTTTTATACCGTCTATGCAGAAGGTTGGACTGACGTCTTTCTTGTTCCAGTTAATAAATGTGGCAATGTTACGACTTGTGNGTACACGCCTCGACTGTACAGAAAGGCCAATATAGCGAGTCTGTAATGGTAACAGACAACTACGAGAACTGATGACGTCAATAACAACACTACCGAAACTGTAAGAACGATTATTTGCCATAATGGCCACACGGGTTCCTTTAGACAGAACACGTCCAGCGGTATACTTTCAATTAGTTCGTGTGTTACGGAGTTGTTAACTCTATTGACTCTTTGACAGGTTACGTTCTCGGAATCGCGGATCTTAAGCAAATTTCGCGTAAACCACCCGACTCAATTGGGGACTGGGGTTGGTCGGATAATTGAAAAGTTGGATAACCATTATTAGTGTAGTATATTATTATATCCCATGTAATTAGTATATTAGTATATTGCTATTAACCTACTTCGCATTGAATTTTCCTCCATGTTAAGCCTATCAAATTTTTTAAAAAAATAATAATCATCGCTATTGTATAGTTAAAAATTAGAAAATTAAGCCTCGTTTAAATAATGGTTCCCTTTCATGGTCGATCCAGTGTTGCCAGCTAAAACACGTAAAAATAATATTAAAGTAGCCAAGACATAGCCAAATATTGTAGCGTCACATCACTAGCAGACATTTGAATTTGCTGACTAGAACGTGGTTGGTTAACCAAGGTGACGGTTAATCAGGGGTCGGATAATCGATGCTCTACTGTATATATCTTGTAAGTACTATGTAATAAGTACGATGTCCTAATGATGTTCTGCTGTAATACTGCAAGTGTAATACTACTGTGATACTACAAGTTTTAATTGGAAAGTGTATACCAAAGTTTTAAATTGTTTCTGTATTCTCATACATCACTGAAGGGAGCTAAAACACTACATTAGCCTGAAATGCATTTGTTGTAAAAGTATTTTTTGAAACTTGCTTAGGTGACGAAAGACTTCAATAAAGTCTTTCGTCACCTAACTTGGAACATTACTGTGAGAAAAATTAACCTATAATGGCTTCACATAATTAAACATCAAAATACAGTCACTTGCAGTGCTAATATAACCACAATATTTTTTGCAGCAGAAACCATTGCATTTATAATTCAATTCAATAACACACATTTAGAGAAAATTAGCATTTACAATGTTATGACATTGCAAGCTTCATTTTATTTAACTTTTCTAAACAATAAATATCTAAAATAAACTTTTATTATATTTTATATACATTATTAACATATTAAATGACATTGCATTTATTATATGATTTTAGTGTAACTGAAAGTTTGAGAATTTGTTGCAAGGCGTAGTTAAACTCAGTGGTCAAATACTAAAACTTGCCTATGCTTAGGCTTGCCAGATTTTCACAGTGTCAGACCAGAACAGATGATGGAAACAATCCTCAACTCCTTCCCATTACAATATACATCTTCAACATACAGTAATACCTCGACTTATGCTACCCCGACTTATGTGAACCCGGAGTTACGCAATTTTCAAATCTTGTCGATTCGTCTTTTGTTTGAGCGCCACTCAACTCTTGATTATTCACTCCTCCCACACTATTGTTCAGCTTACATGTTCAGACGTGTTGCACGGAATCAACACATAGTTACAATTTATTTCTGTGTTTGTTATATCTACGGAGACTTGAGAGACTCTATGTGGTGATTTCTTGTAACTATGAATGAATCAAAAGACGAGATAAGATTAACGAGAACATTTATTAGCTTACATACATCCAACTTGAATTTTACACAAATTGCAAAATTATACCCCGACTTATGCGAATTCAACTTACGCGGTTATCGCTCAGTCCTACCTATCGCGTAAGTTCGGGGATTACTGTACTTAAATTTTATGAAGCACAAGATTCAATAATTATGACAAGAAAACAATACATATGCATAAGAATAGTTAGCCATTAATTGACTCAAGGCACATGGTATCCTGTCTTTGCTCTTATTTGACAGGAGGGATGGAAGGTGGCATGGGTGCATTGGATAGGAAAGAGGAACTGACAGTAGTGCAGCCACTGTGCTGGCACTGAATGTCAAGATCAAGTCATGCTACAGCAACTTTCCTTGGCGTAGGGTGTTTCTTAAAGTTGATCTTCTATATTTCCAATTAATTTACATAAATTTTTGGTACCTTTCCTCTAAATGAGATAAAATTACAAACTGGCCAGGAGGCTGGGACATCACCCTTAAACTGGGATGTCTGGCAAGCCTAATTATGCTTTTGTTGAAGAAGAAAGTTTTTTGTTTTCTGTTTAGATTAGTAGTTTAGTTGTTTTCCTATTAAACTAAATGATGTTTATCTAAATAACAGTATTAAAATCAATAATTTTATGACAGTAAATAATAATTAAATTATTACAGAAATGAAATATTCTTTAAAAACATGTTTTGCTTTTATTTAATTAAATGAATTTTATAATTAGTATTTTAAAAGACAGATTAGAAATTATTTTTTACTTGGAAAATAATAAAATCTTCAAAACTCTTTGTTTCAAACTTTTGGGAGACGTTGCACTTCATTTTTACATTAAGAATTTAGTTACATTGTAATAATTTAATAAAAACATGAATTATGTACTGTATGTCAATCTTACCTTATAAATACAGTGTTAATATACTTTAATTTCCAATAAAAATGAAGATGAAATCTGCTCAAAAGGGATCACCATTTTATTTTTTATGTTCCAAGACAAGGGGCAACTTTTTCAAATTTACATTTTCCATTGCCAGTTTCCAGTAGATAAAAGCAGTTACACCCCCAGAGAAAGTATGGATGGACGTAAGCAAGACATCTGTTATCATCAGTTCCTTTTTTAGAAATTATTTTATAATTTTAATTGGAAGTATTATGTGTTTTAAAAGGACTATTTTATACTACCGGCGACAAGTAGCCTACAAAGAAAGGTCAGTCATCGAAAAAGTGTATTGTCTTGGAACATAAAAAATAAAATGGTGATCCCTTTTGGACAGATTTCATCTTCACTTTTATTGAAAAATAATTCTCCATCAGACAAAAATTTACTGATACTTTAATTTATTATAATACATAAGTTTAAAAATATTTTTTGATTTAAAATCTTAGAAATTCATAAAACAGTATTTAATATTAAATTTTTAAAATTAATATTTGATAATATGTAATTATACTTAAATTATGAAAAAATATTTTTTTATCTGAATGTTACTTTTTATTTTTTAAGAATTTTTTGTTACACCAAATTGACAGCAAAATTTATAAGCCACTTATAATGACTTTTTCTGCTCAAACATCTGCTAATCAAACACAAAATGTTATTCTTGAAAAATTAGAAAGAAGAAGAAAAGGAATTTATGGTCCACTACCTGGAAACAAATTAGTAAGTCAAAGTCAAATAAATAAATTTCAGTATTAAATTATGATAAATAACTTTATTTTATTGGCTGAAATTTTCAAAATTTGTACATCTATAAATTCCCACTGGCGTCATCTGTCTGTCTATCCTTCCTTAATCTCAAGAATGGAGTTAGATAGATGAAAGTTGAAATCAGATATAGATAGCTTAGGGGCAGGAGACCCCTAAGCTATTAACTATATACAAACTTTTAGTTTGTACTAAAAGTCACATTATTTCACTTCAAAAATTCTCTCTCAAATGAAATTAGATAAATGACCAGCATGACTCCATTGTTAACAAGAAAAGTATGGTGTACAGGAACAAGACACTACTAAAATTGAGAGCACTGTCATGAAAAACTGCAGCCTGGCATTGTAATGAGGTCACAATAAATAATTACTCATAACTTAATTTTGTACCATTGATTTCAATGGTATAAAATTTTCTAAAATTCTTGTTAAAATCACTTTTACTATGCTCATTTACTAGAGTATAGCATGTTGATTATATAATTATAATAACATATTTATTGATTTCTTAATATGTATTACTTTTTTTTTATTGATGAAAGATATAAATATTTGAATAAAACTGAAAGTCACTTTCTGAGTAATAATCTGAAATAATAATTTTTTAATTCATAAAATATATTAAAAAATATAAACTCAGTTATTTCTAGTGCTTTTTGTCCAGTAATGTTTTTTGGAATTAGGTTGTTATCAAGGTATTTTGAATTTTATATTATAGATGCTAAACATTGTAACCAAAATGGATGCAAAGTAATAAAAAAAATTACTAAAGTTCAAAAAGCAAAAAAATATGTTTAAATGAAAATTATTTGAACATTTAGAAATTATAAAAGTAAATAATAATAATAAACGAATAAACGATAATACAGGTTTACAAATACATGAATCTTTGGAAGGCTTTCTAACCAATAGGGAGAGAAAAAATAAATAAACTAACATACATTTGTGAGTCAAAGGGAAGCACACCCAAAGGCAAAGAAAATGCAGATGTGTGAGATATAGCTTGTAAATTTCCAGTAGTTTAAAATGGAATGCTGAAATATCATTTTATTGATCTCCAGAATTTTGTATCAAATAGTACAGATTTTCTTTTCAAGTTTATGTGTCCAGGCTAAAATGTACTCATTTGGTGGATTTTTGTCACATATGTATATGTATGTTTGAGCAGATTTTATTATAAAATTAATAATGTATATGCATATGCTTAAAAATCCTATAAAGGGATCCATGTATTAAGACTGAAGAGTTCGAAATGCATATAAAAAATAAATACATAGAAGGAAATTGTGTGTCTCAAGGCCATTCTGTTCTGTGGCTAATGCAATATGATAAGTCCATCTTTAGTAAAAGTGCAGTAGCACAAAACACAGGAAAGAAACAGTTATTATTGTAGACCTTCATGGGCACCGAAATACATCAGGTCTTAAAGTAGGGTAAGAGAAAGCAAATGAGGACCTCACACAAAACACACCTCAATATAAAAACACTCGATTTTATGTTAGATTATGCTCACGTACACGTGGTCATTGTTCAGAAGTACAGATAATAAAAATTTTACAATCTATTACACAGTTGATAACAATCAACGTTCCTTCATCTACACTTCGAATTCATGTCTCTTGTATCTTCAATGCTCGATGGAATTCGATTTCTTTCTTCTTCCAACACGATTAAATCTCGACAGTCTATTGTTAGCACGTGGTGACCCCTTACCTTCCTTCCTCATCCTTTGTCTTCTTCCACTTTCTCTCATAGAGGACAGTTCACGAAGGTTCCAAGGAAAAAAAGATAAAAATGTTGTGGGATCACTCCTTTTATATCCTCCTAAGTTTGATTTTTCCGTCCATTTCCGTTATGACATGGCCATCTCAACAACCAATCAGAAGCCCATTGACCTCTGCCAAAAGGTGGCGTGCGACCGGAAGGGAAACTGACAACATGTTACAAAAATGGTAAAACCCGACAAATAATAACAATACATCAACAATAAAAAAAAAATACAATATAAAACAAGTGCCTAACACTACATTATGATTAGTATTATAACTATTGCTCATTATATTTATTTGGAGTTTTGTAGTTTGCATATACAGTGGGTGATTGGTTAATGAACATAATCCGTTCCAAGACTTTGTTCGATATCCGAATTGTTCGTTAACCGATTATCAATTTACCATAGGTTTTAATGGGAATTTAATTAATTCATTCTGGAGACCCCATATATACTTTCTTACTATGTTTATTTATATGTAATAGTAAAAATACATACATACACAGTCTTGCGTTTTTATTAGTCATGTTTTTTATCGTTTGAAAGGGTTAAAGATTGCTTTTCTCTCTTCTTCAGGATTTTTCGTAAGTAATTAATAGCATTGCAATTGTAGAAATCCTCAAGCCTCAACCTAGTTTGGATGCCAGTCTAAGACCATTGTTCTGATATTCTCCCACTTCTTCAAAAGATCTTTAATAACAGATATCGGCATTAATTGTCTTTTTCAGAAGAAAACATATCTCGCCGAGTTTCTTGGCGTTCTTCTGTTGTCAGATCCGTTTCAGGTTCCGTTATGAACTCTTTGATGTTCTTTATTTCTCAAATATGAGTTTTGTTGCTCCTTTAGCTGCTTGAGTCTTCTTGATTATACAGTATTTTTCTTAAATAAGATTGAACTGCAGCCTACTGTAGACCTTTTCACGCCATACTGACCAGCAACATTAGGCATCTTCTGCCCACTACCTCTTTACCTTTGCTATTATACTCTCACCTTTCGAAAAGAAAACGCAAAACTTAACGAGTTTCCTACCCTACCTGACAGTCTCGCCAATACATAAAAGAATTGTTTTGTCAGAAAAATAAAAGACTGGAATTACAAGAGAGAGTTTCAAAGTTTGGAGGAATACTATTCAATCGGTATATACCGGCTTGAGTGTCAATGTCGATGTCTTCCACATTCCAAAAAGTTTCGAATTGTTGCCCGAAGAGAAGAGAAGACCAATCGTATTCATTATTTTATGTCGCTTCTTCTTGTGTTTGTTCTGTGGGGTGTTCATTATCCGATCATATGTTCGTTGTCCGAACATAAAAATCTTTCGCGAAAGTGTTCGTTATCCGATTTGTTCATTATTCGATCTGTTCGTTAACTGATCACCCACTGTACTTAGCATTATTTAAAATTTATTAAAATCCAAAAATTAAATCTACTTTTTGAATTTTATATAATAAGAGTTATTTTTAATTAAAAAATACTTTATAATTATTATATTTTATGAGGTTGTCTTTATAAATGATTTAAATATGCCTGTGCAAGAACAGTTTGGGGCACAGCCATGTATTGAAATTCTTCATCAGTGGATTGATCATGGAATGTGGTATGACCTTAAAGAATTGTCAATTCTACATTTAGTTGACATACAAATAGTTGCTACAATGGGTCCTCCAGGTAAAATAATCATTATATCAATTTAATAATTTAAGATAATTGTAAAAAATTGGTATTGAATAGTGAATTAATATTTATAACATTTTATTTTTTCCATAAATATAAAATTTGAGGAGGAGGACGTAATGATATAACACCACGATTCTTACGCCATTTTAATACGATTACAATAAATGAATTTAGTGATGAAGTGATGATGACAATATTTACTAGTATTTTTGATTGGCATTTGAAAATAAAGTAAGTATTTACTTTTTACTTTAATTCATTATGTTAATCTTTGAATATACATCTATCCTTCTGCATGAATAATTGTATAACATATATATATATTACAGGTGTAAAAATTGTTTTACATGTAATATATTTTAATAAAAGTTTTTTGTATGTTTACAGTTTTCTTATTTAAGAATACACAAAAATTATCATAAATTCTTATAAACTATTCATAAGTTTTGATAAAGATAAAAACATATGATATTTGTTATTCAAACAAAACATGTTTTATTTTCAATGCAACATGTGAATAATTAAACCAAAATAAAACGTTTGATTTTTCTTGTAATTGAATTAAGGATTTTCTAATTTACAAAATATAATTATATTAGAAAATTAATTAAAATCGGAATTACAATTTTTGTTATTATATACTATTTGATTAGAATATTTTGTGTAAAAGTAGATTGAATCTATTATATACTTAACACTCTGAGAGTTGTTGTGTTTCTACTGCATTCATCCAGAAGTCATCTGGATCTATCAGACCCCATCTTTTAATACAAAATTGTATAAATATGGTCATTGTCACCACAAAAATAATTTTGTTCACTTTTTAACCACACAAAATACTTTTAGTTAGATAAGACCTGTGATATGTCTTCCTCAAAAAGCAAACAGTAAGGAGAGATTTCTGATATTTGGCTTTTAATTGTTTCCATCTGAAGTTTTTCTTTTGTTATCCTTCTAAAAAGATTTCTTTACTTTTTAACAATTATATTTTAAAAGCTTATTCCTTAAATTTTGTAATTAATTAATATTTTAATCAGTTAAACTGCCTTTAATCAAAAACACTTACTTTCCTATGAAAATTAATAATGCTTCAAGTGTTTTGAAGAAACAAAAACTTTTTTCCTTAGTATATTATTTGTAACAATTGTTAGGGAAAATATCTTTATAGCAAAAAAGAAAACATTACTGAAGGAGACTGTGAGATCCATGATTTTTACATAGTTGTCAAGAAAGAAAATTGTAAACAACTCCGATGGAAAAAACCCACTCTTGATGAGAATTATGTCGGAGGTCATCGTTTGTTTTCACAATTAGGTGGGAAAGTTGACACTTGATCAGAATGCACCATTAGTGTCAACAGAAGTTGATCATGTGACTTCTTTCCAGTGAAGATAGTATAAAAGCTTAAGCTCCCGGAAGCTTGGGGCGATCCAAAGGAAGTTATACTTGTGAATGTGTGCATCTCCATACACCAGACACAGTGACCGAAAGGACATCGCCATATGCCCAACCACAACTTTGAACTTCCATCACCATACTACAGTTTCTGCGCTGACTACAATTCCTACGGCCCATTCAATGCACACATATCATTCATATCCTCATAGAGGTATTTATATTTTAGAGCTTTGTGAACTCTCTCTCAGAAATAGTTGTTAGAGCTGTTAAGAGTGGCCTTTGTATAGTAAATTCCTATTTAACCGCATTTAAACTTAATATTATTATCATCTTATGTAACCTAGCTTAGTTATTCAATAAATGCTTTGTTATTTAGTTTCACCTGTCTATCGTTGTACCTGCCGACTTACTGGAGCACTCCCCACTCAATTTGCCCTCCTAAGCCATCCAACAATCTGATATCAGGTTTTACCAATCTGTGCAGATTAAGTGGTCAGAAGGGATTAACCCCTGACTCCCTGCTTATTTCATAAGACAGTATATACAAATCTATGATAAAGTTTCTGTTATATGACTTGTTTTGGGTATCATGTAATATGTCTATTTACATTTAATTCAAGAAATTTACAAATTTAAAAGAAATGATCTGGAAGCAGATCTCCATCATCAACCACACTGATACTACATTACCATGTAATTCTAATCTAATTGGGGAGTCTTTATACACCATAAAATAATACAAATCTGTAAAAAATTCTAAAATTCTTCTATTTCTTTCTATATCATATATCTTTCACACCTTTTCATTTTTCCCATTTAATTAATATGTAGATGCTTGAATTATGCAATTTTAATAATTTTTTTGTCACATTTAAGTACTGTGAAACTTTGGAATTGGACAAGTCCACTAAAATAACAGTCAAAAGTAGCCAAGTTCAAAATGTAAAGTTCAAAAACTGGCAAAGACCATATTTTATTTGAAAAATGTCCAACTCCTACAAAAAAATCACTTTAATCAAAATAGCACTGGTTCAAATGAAATTGAAATTTTTATGATTTATTTAACAATCTGAACATCTGAACACAAATTTATCTGGATTTTGAAAGATTTTTCATGTTAAATTAAAGTTTGGCTACATTGGAAAATTAATATAACTTGGCTTGTTTTAAACTATATACCTCATACTTTGTAATGAAAATAATATGTTAATATACAATTATTATTTTTTTAAAAGAATTAATGTTAAAAATAATTATTTCTGTCTTCTTGATAGTTCATTGCATTATATGTTTTCAATTTTGACTTTTTTATTTTTAGAAATTTTGATTCAAGTATCAAAGAATGTGTACTTCCAATCATTAAAGCAACTCTTCAGATTTATAAGGAATCAACGAAAAATCTTTTACCAATACCAACCAAATCTCATTACCTTTTTAACTTGAGAGATTTTTCACGTGTTGTTCAAGGACTTCTATTATCATCACCTGAAACCATTAAGGATATTAAATCTATGAATATTCTATGGATACATGAAGTATGTAGCATTAGTTTAAATGAAAATATAGATTATTTTAATAAAAAAGAATAAATTGTTCAAAAAATTTAACAAGAATAGTTTTTGTAATAGAATTAAATTTTAAATTTATGTTGTTTAAGAAATATAGTAACAGTAGCAGTGGTGTATTTAGAAATATGGCACCTCTAGGCCCACAATATGCAAGTACTGCACATCCTTGAAACTAATAGTATTGCCATTTTTATACTGATTAATTCTATTTTATAATTTTAATTTTGCAATAATTGTATTTTTACAGATTCTTAAATATCAAAATCATGAAAAATACATTTATTGGATACAATTAAAGATAATTTTTGTTATACAGGATGAATTACAGTATAATTGGTGAAGTTTAACAACTTTGCGACTTATATTGTAAAGATGTCCTGGGTCTAGTGGGCCTAATAAAAAATACAATAGCACATATCACAAATAATGATCTTACGCAGTACTGATCTTACATATAGTATTTTGGGTGGCAGGTGATTTCTATGCATTGCTGACATTTCATTCCAGCAGTGGTAACAGAATGAAAAGGATCAAAGGGTATTCCTGTTGAAAATCTATCATTTGTACTACCACTTTGTTTATGCAAAATATATTTATGTATTAATATTACTCAAATGATGTGTCTTATTTTCTCTCTACTTAATCTTTTAATTTACTTTATGACATATTTCTAAATAAGGTTATGTTTTCATTATTTCATTGTTATGAATTTTTGAACCCTCCCAAACTCTTGCACTTCTAGGCCTGGGCCTAGTGGGCTTAATGGAAAATGCACCACTGAACAGTAGGCTATTTTAAATTTTTCAAAAACTTTCTATAATATATTTTGTTTATTAATTATTAAGTTTTTCAATTTTATTAAATTATTTAAATTATATATTTGTAGATTTTTCGTGTCTTTTATGATCGTTTAGTTGATGATGATGATTGTTCTTGGTTGTTTGGAAGTGTTCAAAGTTTGTGCAATAGTGTTTTAAATGAAAATTTTCATGACTTATTAAGCTTTCTGGATAGCAATGAAGATGGATTTGTTACAGAAAACGATGCTTCCTATTTAATATTTTGTGATTTTAGTGATCCAGAACAAAATTACTACTCACAAGTAAAAGATATTGTCAGTTTACAAAATATTATTGAAGAATGTCTTACAGATTATAATAATATCTCTAAATATCCTATGAATATAGTGTTATTCAGGTAATATTATAATTCATGCTATTTAATTTTAAAACTTATAAGCAAAAATTATGAAATGTTGATATTGTTAATCTATATCAACAAATAATAGATGTGTTATAAACATATTACCTATTGCTAATAGACAACATGAGAATTTTGATTCTTATGAAATATCTTCATGAAATCCACATAAAAGTTGAAAAATTGTTAATTCGTTTAATACAAATATAAAGACAATAATTTTGTAAAAAGTTTATTTCATTCAAAAGATTTGATTTGGGAGTATGGGGGTCTGATAGAATAAATATTAGAAGAATGGATGAACTCAGATGAGTCTTGAGGTATTGGCAGGTATCTTTCAATGGGCAATCTCTATTGCACGTGTTGATAACTTGTCCCTTTCCTTTTTCCCTAGTCACTGACTTCTTAGAAATAAAGATAAGAGACAGTAAGAACTGACCAGGATGATTTTCTGCTATTCAAGCCTCTCAATTTTTTTCTCAAAGATCCTTCTCACTAACTCAATTCACTCATGCACACCCAATTTACTTACTATTTGATTGGATCTTCAAACTGTCATCAAAAAAGTCAATGGAAATTATCCAGAAATTACTCCTCTTCCAGGGAAGTTTATCCTACCTGCATCTTCTTTTTCTGTCTCCCATTCAACTTACATTTACTGTCTCAACTGCAGCTGATTACCACTATTAGACAAAATATCTGATAGTTTGAGTGACATGTATGATTTAACAATTCACATTCCTCTTGTGATGCAACATAACTTTTGTCTTTTGTTTAAACAAATAAAATCCCATTTGTTTCTCCAATGATTTATAGGTCCATATGGGTCATTTAAATTCTTAGCTATCTGACATATACAAATTCATCAGAGGCAACCTTAAAATCTGTCTTGTACATAAATTTCTTTCAAAAAGAAAAAGTTTGAAATCTTATTTTATAAAATAATTAATAACAATAAAAACACTTTTAAGAAAATATATATTCTTTTATAATAACTATTAATGTTTTGTGTATCTTTTTTCATAATATATAAATAATTAATGAAGCTCTTAAAATATATACACTTGTGTTCAAAATTAAAATAACACACAAATGTATGTAGCAAAAACACAGAAATGAACTGCCCTCCATCATAATGAATCATCCAGATGCCTTCTCTGAAAAATGTTCTGATAAGCTAGTAAGGAAGCATATCAGGACACTTCCTCATTGTTTATGCTTTTCACAGACATTTGTTTGTCAGAAACAATTTTGCTGTACACTACATGTTACATTAGATTTTGTCTCACAGGTGTGTTGTGTTATGCCTTATTTGCATGACCTTGCTTGATAGGATGACACTTTGCTGATTTACATATGCATTAAATTTCAACTATTCATTTTATAGTGTTGATTTTACAAGAGTTTTGTGTTTGTTGCTTTAATTTTGGGTACAATATTTTAATATCTTATCCAAAATGTTTTAATTGTATTATTAAAAGGAAGCTTTCTTTTATCATAAGTTTATCAAAAATAAAAATTTATGCCATTGTTATTTAGACCTTCTTTCTATATAGTGTTTTCAGTTTGTTAATTTAATAAGTATACACAGGGCCAGCTTAATGGGTGAGGTGATGAGGTGACTGCCTCAAGCAACAAAGTAAGTGATCAAAAATGTTCAAAAGGAGCAAAATAAATAAATAAAAATAATAACTGAATAAAGTTAAATTCCATATATACACTTTAAAGTTGTATATAAAAAGTTCATTTAAGAATGCCACTTTTCTGAAAGTAAAAATGGAAAAAATTAGTTTCAACTCAGGCATAAGCTACCATCAAACCAACATTGAGTAGACATAACAAATGAACAATAATAATTGTAAGATAACAGGGCATTCTAGAATCATTATTTATTTGTTATATTTATGATTTAAGTATTTGGCAAATGAGATTTTCTGACATAATAAATATTTTTTCCATTAAGTCCTTAATACAAATTTAAATTTTGGGTGCATTTCTGTTTTAAAATTAAATTTTTTTAATCTGTTGCTGATTTTTAACAATATAATGTGCAATGAAAATTCTGATGTAATGAAGATTGTTTAGTTTTCATTACATCTGATCTTTGTGCATAATTTTTAAAAGGACGAGGTTTTAAACAACTACATTATCTTTTCATAATGTAGCTTATTAATTTTTTCAATATATGTATATAGAATAACACAATACAGTAGACTAAGGAGGAACTGAATAGATGCTTAATAAATATAAGTTATATAAAATATACCATTTTATTAACATTATAACATTTTTTTTTTGAATTGTGAAATAGGAGAAATTAAACTTTAAAAATCTTCCCCATCTGCCTAAATCTTACATTGCATATTCATTTTGAATAATTATTATTTTAATATTTTGGAAATATTTATTGCATTATTTCAATAAATTTTTATCAAATAAAATCTAATAAAAAATAAACTATTTAATTTCAGCTATTTTATTCAACATCTGTGTCATATTTCTCGAATAATGTTGTTACCACATGGTCATATTTTATTGACTGGTGTTAGAGGTTCTGGAAAACAATGTTTAAGTAGACTTGCAGCTCATATTGCAAATTATGATCTATTTCAGGTATATGCATTTTATGTATGTATGTATATATTTTTTAATATTATTAAATATATATTAAAATTTTTATATAGATTGAAATTTCAAGGAGTTATACAAATATAGATTGGCAAAATGACATTAAAAATCTATTAAATAAATCAAGTATTGAAGATACACATAGAGTGTTTTTGTTTTCTGACAAGCAGATTATATCAGAATTATTTCTTGAAGATATTAATNGAGTAAGAAATTTTGGCATGTCTTGTGGATTGATGATGATGTGTGTTAGATGTTTAGCTAGTTCCTGGTGCAGTGATGTAAACTTTTTATACCAGAAATTGTGAATGTTGTCTACACCAGGTGTCTTCCAGTTGTGTGTTCTGTTAACAGCGTAGCGAATGTCGTGTATGTTTATTTCAGCACAGGGCATACTTGGTATGTTATGCAAGTTTCTGTTCTCCTCCTTGATCCAGCCTGCATCAGCATTGTTATTATTATTATTATTATTATTATTATTATTATTATTATTATTATATCCTTGTATAATGTATGCCTCGAATAACAGACACTACGAACAACGGACTTTCTGTTTGGCCATTACGTGACTCGAACAACGGACTGGCTGTGAACAACGGACTTTTCATTCGGCAGTTACATGAGGCGACACAACAAACTTTCTGTGAACAAGTGCGAATGATGTTTTTGTGAATATGGGGGCGTAAGGCTCCCCCCTCTATAGTCAGGATAAGAGGTCAACCGAGTGTAAAGAGAGGTGATTGGGGTCGACGATAAGGTGAAGGGCGAGATCGAGTAAAGGAGTCTACCATTATTTTAACAAATATAAAATAACAATTTATTAAAGAATAGGCAAATGACAAAACTACACAAAGCTCTATACCATCAGAGAGTTTCTATATCAACTTAGAGTTTCTATACCGACTTAGAGAGAGTTTCACCGTACTTTCATACCTCTTATAGTCGTCCACTTCGACGATTCTGAACGTGGATGCCTTTAAAATATCGATCCAAGGAATAATCCACAAATACGGCACAAATTATATAAAATCGCAACTTAAGTGCTCATTTAATTCGAGGTTCATCGGAGATCGGAATTCGGCTTGTTTAGAAGATTGGCGCGATGTTGTTAATCCTGCGTTTGGTAATGAACATTTTTCATCAAAATCGTTTAAAAATTGTGTGAATTGGCGGTGATTTAGTCCTCTACTTTTAATAAAATTAACTGTTTTAATTATGGGATTCATTACATGATCCATTTTCAGCACTTTAGAGGCTAAGACTTCTTGACGTACAATACAGTGAATTCCAACAAATTTGGGTCATTCACCTTTAATTTCATTTAAAATTTTGTTCCGTATTTTTTGACAACACCAGCATTTTTATCGACCATGGATGATGACCCATATGTGGTAATACTGCAGAATTTACTCTAATCCAAGTCATAATTTGGTACTAATTGCTCAATTGTTGAGTAAATATCTTGAGCTTTGATAGTAGTCTTCAATGGTATGCATTGCAGCAACTCTTCTGTGATGTTAAAATCTTCATTAATTCCACGAATAAATACAGTAAGCTGCGATGTATCTCTGATATCTGTACTTTCATCAGCTGCTAAGGAATACCAGATAAATTCTTTAATTTTATGTTTGCGTTGAAAGTCCAAATTTTCTGCCAATTCATTTACTCTGGAAGCAATTGTATTTCTAGTCAGGGGTATTTCTTGAATGACTTGTTTCTGTGATGGGAATGAAATGTCAGCCACGTCTAGCATACATTGTTTTAAAAATTCACCATCACTAAAAGCTTTTGATGTTTTTGCAATCTTTAGTGCGATCGAATAACTAGCTTTCAATGCATTTTCATTGTCAGTTTTTGATTTTTTAAAAAATGATTGCTGCCCCATTAGTTTCAAAGATACCAGTTTCCTTTCCTATGTTAAGTTTACTGCTATACCTTAGTATACAGTTTACAGTGGAGGGTAATAGGCAATGAACACCAACCAATTTAAGGACTTTACACTTATTATTTAATGTTCTTATTAAAATATATGATTCAAAACTTCGGGAGTCTTACATGCATATTGATACACCGACAATATATATTCAGTACTGTTAACACGCGTCTATATCGGCTCCCGAATCTAATACCTAATTTTTTTGGGATTGTACAAATATAAAGGAACAAAACACAAACAAATTTTCTTACATGAGTTCTTCTCTAAAATGTTGATCAATGTATCTGGGGTTCACTTTGAAGTCTTTATTCTAGGTCCGGATGGAATTGGATCACTGTTCTCTCTCCACACTGTCCATTCTCCTTTTACCTTTTTACCACGTGCTTGTCCACTCGCGCACTTCACTAATACCACGTGTCCAACTTAGTCCGAATCGCCAGACAAAGAGTGAAACACCTCCCTTTATACTTCTTCGTTTTTGACGTCACGAGTCACAAACCAATCAGAGTCCCGCGGGTTTTTACAAAAGTGGTGCCCAGGCACAAACGGAGCATGCGAAACACATACAACGAAAAAAAAACAAAAAAAAAAAAAACAACAATTTAATCTGAGTGACAGATCACTACACCTAATTTCATTGGTAAATAACTCAAACTTGTCTTTATGATTCATTTCATAGTGTCTTTTCACATTAAATTCTTTACAAATGGCAATAATCTTATTGCAAATCAAACAAAGTGGTTTACCATTCCATTCAATAAAAAAATACCAAATTTCCCACTTTGGCTGGAAAAATTGGCACTCACTATCAACTTTTCTTTTTACTGACATTATTTATTGAAAATTTTTTACCATTGCATTTATTTGACCGAACTTGCTCACCAATAAGAAAACACAACAAAGTCTCTAATTACGGAAGTGTCTTGAATACTGAACAACGTTGCCAGATGATTATAGCTTTTGTGTATGAAAATTTTCTAAAAAGTAGCCCAAAAGTATCCGAATAAAAAAATTCATTTTTAATAACCCAAGATTTGACAACAAAATAAAAAAACAACATTCGTACTTTCCAGCAAAAATAAATAATCTTGTTTAGACGGACTTTGAAGTTTAAAAGATGAAATAGAAAAAACATAATGTAAACAAGAAATTAAATACAAAAATAAATCAAATAAAATTAATATCTCTAAGTAATATGAATAAATAAATAAATAATAATAATAATAATTGAGTTCAACAATTTTGTCTATTCAGTATTATTTGTTTAAATACAAAATATCACACTTTGTTTAGTATGAACATAATAAAAAAATAAACAAATAGCATTATTGAATTAATGTCGGGGGCCGCAACTAATTGCCTCGAGGGCCAGTCATGGCCTGCGGGCCATATCTTTGACATCCCTGTCATACATAGTGATGTGTGTGGACCAAGTACACCATCTACAATTAGTGGTGAAAGTATTTTCAGGTAATGTTAGATGACTTTCACATTTTGTCATTGTTAAATTGTTAAAAATACAAGTGTGAAGCAGAAGATAACTTGATAGATTATATTTGAGAAATGAAAGCTCAGCATGGTCTTACTGTGAAAACACTGCAATTGGATAATGGTGGTGAATTCAGTTCAAACAATTTTAAAGGATTTGCAAAACACAGTGGCATACTATTGGAATACACTATGAGCTATAACCCACAGATAGGAGGAAAGGCTGAACTCATGAATAAGACTTTATTAAACATAGTCTGCACAAAACTCATTGACTCAGGAATTTCAAAGGAGTTATGGGGAGAAACATTAAAGAGCTCAGCCTACAAACTAAATAGATCTTTAATAAGTGCTCTTTAGAGAGAGAAAATGCCATCAATTCTGTGGCATGGATGGAATGATATCAGAAAGCTGAAAATTTTTGGATGTTGAGCATGGTAAAACATCCTGCCAAAACAAAATAAACTAGAACCAAGTTATGGTGGAATACTGTGGTGGTGACTATAGGTTGTGGATCCCGACAGAAGAAAGGATAATAAGATCATGAGATGTACTGTACAGTTGATGAAAACTGTATGGAGTATACAGAAAATGAAAGAGCCAGACCAAAACAAATAGAAGAGGGGGGTGTTTTCCCAGCTGTAATTATACCCAGTATTGAAGAAAAAGAACAAAATGATGATGGAAGAATACTAGGAAACAATAAAACAGTGAGCTAAAAGATGAAAGAGAAGACAAAAAGGAAATTCTAAAGTTAGAAGAAACATTAAGAAACCTTCTTGTTTAAATGATTTTGAATTCTATACTGCATATTGTTTGTTATCATTGACAGAAGGACCTAAAACGTGCCAGGAAGCATGCAAGTCATCAGAGTGGAGGAAAACTATAGAGAAAGAAGAGAAAGGTTTAGATGGTCTAGTAGGCATGAGTGATGCTGATAGGGGAGGAGATACGAAAACTAGGAAAAGTGTGAGCAGAATGATTGGTTTTTATGCTGGAAATCCAATTGCATTGTATTCCAGAAAATAGAACTCTGTGGCTCTTTCATCTATGGAATCTGAATATATTTCAGTTAGCATCAAAGTTCAAGAATTAATGAATTTGAAAGGTATTTTATCTGAAGTTGGTTAAGTGTAATATTGCAATCCTCAAAGTTGACAATCTACGTGTGATTTTTATGATGAAAACTTTTGAGAATTCAAAGACTGGTAAGCATATTGACATAAGATATCACAACATCAAAGACCTGTGTAGAGACAAGGAAATTTCAATTAAACATTGAAATTTCCTTGTCTCTACATTTGGAAATTTCAATTAAACATTGAAATTTCCAAATGAAAATGAAAATATTGCTGACATTTTTACAAAAGCTTTGGGAAAAGAGAAGTTTGTCAAATTCAGAAGTTTGATGTTTTGTGACTGACTGATATAGTATATATGTATAGAAAGTCTTTACATATTAAATACTGTTATTGTTTGTAACATACAACTACATTTCAAAATCTCAAGAACATCAAAATGAGGTGGTGTGTCAAGGAAAGTGAATTTCATATTGTTTTATTCTTTACTGTCAGAAGCGTTATATCTTCCAGCACTCTGTTTGCCTCACTCCACTGTTCTGTAAGTAGCACAGAAGGCTTGTGATGTTCTGCTGTTCTTTCTGTATTTGTTTGTTTATTAAACACAATTTTTAGTTAAAGCAATGTACTATTGTACATTCTTTCTTCACTTTTAACAAAAATGTAATCTTATTTTATTTATTCTTTTATTGTATGGACATAAAATTTATATTATGACAATATAATTTTTTTATTATCTAATAACTTAAACAAAATTGTTTTAAAATGATAGTATAAATGTTTGTCATAGTAAAACAAATAAAAGTATACAGTTAAAATTAAAAACAGTAACTTTTATACCAAGGAATCTAATTAATTTAGTGCTGATCCATTGCATACAATTATGACTATACTGTACTATAATTTTTAAGTCAGGTATATTTCTATCTCCTGAGAGTAATTATAAATTTTTTTAATAATTTACTTATAATGATAACTGATTAACTTTTCAATTAATTTATAAGTTTATTAACAGATTACGAGATAAATCACAGCAGACAGATGGCTCACCACTTGCACTTTTCAACCTTTTTATCCAGCTTGTAAAACAGCAGTTACATATCTGTTTAACAATGAGTGCAACCAGTGATTTATTTAGAGATCGTATTCGTAAATTTCCATCACTTGTTAATTGTTGCACTATTGATTGGTTTAAGGTGAGGATAATACAAAAATTTTCGTTAATATAATAATTACTTATAATCTTGACTGTTATTTTCATTTTCACAAATTCTTATTATTGATATACAAAAAAGACAATGGTAACATTTATAATAAATTATAACTTAGAATTTTGTTATTACTTTAATTAAATATTACTTGTTAACTCACAATAATTAAATTTGTTTAAAGTAATCTTTGTATATTGTAAAACTATTTATATTAATATAGGGAAAAATTCAATAAAAATAATCATACTTTTGCAATTAACATTTTTCTTCTTGTTATTAAAGTATTTATGAATGAAAAACAAGGAGTTTATTATTAAACAGTTAAATATTATTAACTATGCTATGTGATGACTCAGTATTATTATATAACTGCTTATTTTTGGTTATTTTAGGATAAATAGATAAAACTTAATTTGAAGATTAAAATTTGTTTTGTTTATTTTAATAATGAACTCTCTTTACTCTTCTTCATACAGAAGAATGAAAGGAGAGAAGATTTACTAGATATTATTTTCATCATGTCTCCTAATTTTAATTACAAATTAAGTGAAATTTTTTTATTGTTTTGAATATTTAATTTTTTTAAAAATTGTAAAACATTTTAAAGTATTCTAAATATTGAAAAAAGAAATTTCTTTTCAAACAACAAAAATATAAATAACACTTCTGGAGAAGTCCAAAATTAATTTAGTGTAAATTATCAATTCTGTGGCATGGATGGAATGATATCAGCAAGCTGAAAATTTTTGGATGTTGAGCATGGTAAAACATCCTGCCAAAACAAAATAAACTAGAACCAAGTTATGGTGGAATACTGTGGTGGTGACTATAGNTTTCGAATAATGCTATTTTAATCTTAAGTTTTTGAAAATTTTTTCATTAAAAAACCTTTGTTTATAATTTACTTTTTTTTTTAACTATAAAAATAGATTTTAAGATATTTTATTTTTCTAGGTATGGCCAAATGATGCATTAGAAGCTGTAGCTTGTAAATTATTAAAGGAAGTTAATCTAAAATCTACAGAATTGTCAGGTTGCATAAATCTTTGCAAACAGTTTCATAATTCAACAGTAGATCTCTCCAAAGATTATTTTAGGGTTTTACATCGTCATAATTATGTCACACCTAAATCATTCTTGGATTTGATATCAACTTTTCAAATTCTTTTAACTGAAAAAAGAGGGTAAGAATAACTAAATTTTATTTCAATTTTACATTTTAAAATAATTAAAAATTATTTTTATAAGAAAATAACAAATTTTAAGAAAATTTTGAAATATGTTTATGGAAAATTATTCAACTTTTTTTTACTATTCCTAATCAATTAGTTCTAAAATTTAAACATTTTAATGTTTAGTCCATTTAACTTTGAAACATTAAATTATTACGATCATTGTTTTAAACTAGTTTATTGTTATTATAAAAATATGAATTATGTTCATGTTATTTTAAAAAAGTAATTTTTGTTTATTTTATAATGATAATTATTCTTTAATAAATTTTTGTGAAATTAAACAATTTATGCAATTTCTTAATGAATCATGCCATGAAAAATTTTATGTATTATTTATGAAAAAATGTATATAAAGTCAGAAGAGAATATAAATGATTGTCAGTTTAGTTTTAGAAATGATTTTGACATTACAGAAGCTTTAGTCTGTTTGCAGATATTGATACGAAAGGCTCAAGATGTAGAATAAAACTTTTCTATCTTATATTTCATACTTTCTGAATTGATGACAAAGATAACTAAATCACTAAAATTGTACTGGTAACAGAAAGCTGTGTTTCAAGTTTAATGAAAGATTTTCAGAGGAATTTTAGATCATGAGACAATATTATTTTTACGAACATTGTTATTTTTAGAATATATATAAATACATGCTATTATAAAACTGTTTTTAACAAATCAATAAATATTTTCCTAAACAGAGAAATCATAAAATTAAAACAGCGATATAAAATTGGATTAGAGCAGTTGGCACATGCATCTGATCAAGTTTCTCAAATGAAGGATGAATTATCAAAATTGCAACCTCAATTAATTGAGGCAAGTAAAGAAGTTGCTAATACAATGGAAATGGTCGAAAATGAATCGGAAGAAGTTGCAAAAATTGAAATGAAAATGAAGGAAGATGAATTATTAGCTAATATTCAAACTGATGAAGCAAATACTATCAAAAAAGAGTGTGATTCAAAATTAGCTGAAGCAATGCCACAATTAATTGCTGCTAATAAAGCTTTGAATACAATAACCCCTACTGTAAATATACATTATTTATTTTTGTTTTTACATTGTTTTGATATCAGATAAAAAAAATTAAATAATATATAACACTTATTAACACATTTTATTTGAATAGATATGAATTTACATTAATTTGCATGCTATTTATTTACTTAAAAAATAAAAATATCTCAGATTTTATCATTTAAATTACCTTATCTTACAGGATATAACATTTCTTAAAACAATGATACATCCACCTCCTGGAATAAAATTAGTGATGGAAGCAGTTTGTATTTTAAAAGAGATTAAACCAATTATTACTAAAGATTTAATAGGTAAATAAAAGTTTTATTTTAATTTTATATTTAAGAAGTATTTCAAATTAAATAATTAAATGTTAATTTTTTGTTAGGCCAAACAACAGAAGATTATTGGGGACCATCAAAAAAATTTTTTGCTGACATGAAATGTTTAGAACATCTGCAAAATTATGATAAGGTTAGTTTTTTATAAAATATGTTGACTTAAATATAAATTGTCTGTTTAATTTAGAATAGTACAATCATGATTGCATAATGGGATATGTCTGCTATTTTTCTGAAATCTGAAAACATTTTGAATTAATTTGCAGGCTAATATGGTTAGTAGGTTATTAGAGAAATGCCTAGTCAATGTGCATGCAGTTATATTTTCTTTGTTTTTACAAATATATTACATACAATGAGGAAATTACCACATTGGCAGTCAGTATAGATATCAGGGGTCAACAAGTAGACGACAACAAGGGCTAAGACAAGAAGGGCAAAGTTCCTGTGTTATCTATTTTATATCTGAAGGAAATATTGATAGATTTCACTTTCAGAAGTACTGTACACCCTCTAGTGTTGCAAGAGGACACTACATGTTGTCACAAATTATTCAAATTTTTAAATTAATATGCCTCAATGTCCTTAATTTATTCAAATATTATTTCATTCACCAGTACAGTGTGTATTTCTATTAATAGGATTTATTAAACTGGTATTTAAGATTACTGCAAATCAGTCACACAGATTAAAATTGTTTTATTTACATTTACTTGTAAATGTAGTACCAGGTACCATCTTAAATACCAGTTTAATAAGTCCTATTAATAGAAATACACACTGTACTGGTGAATGAAATAATATTCAAATTTTTCTTTTTATTTGAACTAAATCAAAGTTATCAATGATATAGTGATAGTACTTAAAATATTATTTTAAAATAATAAATCAGGAATAATATTTCAGTATTCCTAAATTGGAAATTTAAAATATAAAATGAAAGTGTTCAAATTGAAATTTTGTTTTAGAAATTAAAGAGTTAATGGATTTTAGAATTAACAGCATTATAAAGATTTAGTCAGCAGTTCAAGACACAAATTTTTATAATTATTATCATTATTTAAGATAAAAATTTTGTTGAAAATTTAATGATATATCTATTTTTAAGGCAAACAATAAATAAGAATATATCAATTGGAATTTGGATTTCACTTAAGAAAGCATATAAATGTTTATTATAGAAATAGAGATTTAAAAAAAAATTATACATAAAAATTAAATTATTTTAAAATAATTTTAATCAGCTCCAAAATATATCAAAACTATTATATTAATGTAAAATCAATTTTAATTAATACTTAAAACTTTCCAAATACTATAGTTGAATAATGGAAATTTATTCAAAACCTTGCTTATAATAGGTATGTTTCTCAGTTCTATTGAAAATTTAACCAATTTAAATTATTTGGATGATAAAATTTGAATTAAAATAATGTTTTCTACTATTAACAGATTTAACAAATACATTGTATTATATGAAAATAAAATTATTTTGATATGATCTGTATTGAATGAATTTTTTTTTTTAGTGTTTCATTTTACTCACTTATTTTGAGTTTGCTGTCTTTGTTATATTTATTATATATTGATGTATTAGATATTTTCATAATTAATTACAGAATCCAAGCAACTTAAATGTAAAGAACTGATGACAAAAATAATCTTAGGCTTACTTTTAGGAACTTATTTATTAATATAAATTAAATTATTCTTTATCAGAAGAATTATAATATTCAGTCTCTTTACATTCAAATACACTCCAATATTCTTGATAATATTCTAATTATTTTTGAAAAATAATGAAGAATATGAAGACAATGTCTGCTGTAGAAAATATGGGTAAGGCTTCCAGAATTTACCTTAATTTATTTTTTTAGCATTGAAAATGGATATCTCTTATCTAGAAAGTTTTATACAGTCAAATCAAGTTACTTACAATAAATTAAAACTAATTTACATTATTTACAATAAATAATAATAATAAATAACCTTAGAACAATAAATATTAAAAAAAGGCAAGATATATACATTAGTCTAACACTGTCTCTTCCTTAAGCATTATATATCTTGGAGATGCAGTTGCCAAGGATAAATAATCCATTTTATATTGTTTACTTGGACCTTGTTTATAAATAGGATTTATTATTCTAGTTGTAGTTTCTCATTAGCAAAAAGAGAAAGTCTTAGTCAACAGGTAAAACAAAATATCTTTATTTTACCTATTGATTAAGACTTTCTCTTTTTGCTAATGAGAAACCACAGCTAGTATAATAAATCCTATTTATAAACAAGGTCCAAGTAGACAATGCTTTACTTTTTTTCTTTTTATATTAAGGGCATAGAAATAAAAAGAATTGATAAATAATCCATTTTCACTGTAACAATGAGGTAATCTATTATTCTGAAAAAGAATCTTCATTAAAGGGAAATTGTTGTGTACAAAATTGTCGTACTGAAAGTAAACCTAGTGTCCAAGACTAAAGTCCATGGACTTAAGTTTGGAGATAATTTATTTATGGAAATATCTGGTATATATTACTTCTATATTGAATATTATAAATATACATTTTTTTAGATAAGCATTAATTTCATTAAGATGGAAAAAATTTCATAGATAGTTATAATCCAAGAACTTGCACATATTTCAGTAGATAACACAAATATTTTGATACTTTTATAAATTAATATTTCAAATTCATTTTAATAGTAAAATGTTGTATTTCATATAAAGTCAGTTTTAATATTTAAAATTTCAATTTTTTTTCAAATTCAAGTTTTATTGCTTTTAGTTTTCCCTAGCATTTGGGGGTACAAATTAATTATAAACATTTCACAAATTAATACATAATTTTTAGTTTCCTCTAACTTGGTTGGGTACAAATTAATTATAAACATTTCACAAATTAATACATAATTTTTAGTTTCCTCTAACTTGGTTGGGTACAAATTAAATATAGACAATAAGTTACAAAACCAAATGTATAAATAATTCATGTCAGCATTTACAACACAGTGCCAAGCTGTATACAAAGTAAAATAAAAACTTATCAAATCACTTTTGATCTGTTATCCAGAAAATGTTTGAAGTATCTGTTGTCAAATATTCTTGGAAATCTAAACCATTTAGTAACATTGTCCTATAGAACTGTATAATAATACAGCTATTAAAAATATTCTATTTTAAATCAGAACTTTTCCATTACAAACCCAGCATTTCTTCACTAATTGCAAATTTAAATATATTTATTTACAATGAAAAAGTATTTATTCATTCTCAATTGTGCAATTAGCCTTTATAATTTTAGAGATATCATTCAATAATTATGACTGCATTTCTCAACATGATGTCACTCTCATATATTTACAAAACTTTACAAAATAATTACTACCACTTTAAACATACTTCTAAAATCTGCAGAAACATACTTTTTAAATAATTTAAATCATTTTACATCTAAATAAGTGAATCCCAAATAGTTTAAAATTTCCACCAGAGTTATAAATTAAAATATTTTACTAATACTGATGTATCAATAAAAAAATCTGAATATTTTTATAACAAGAGAAGAACAGTTCAAAAGTATGTAAATACTAGACAGTTTTTAAATAAGAATGAAAAACTTATCTTCTAATACATAGTGACTTCAGGTGATTTTGTACAACTGTTATCATGCTCAGTACAGATATTTTTTACTAGTAGACAATGCATTATTTACTATCATTTTGAAAAATTTGATTTTCTATCAGATAAAATTGACTGCATACTGTACTAAACTATTTTATATTTTTTTATTTTTATATATTATATTACTTTTTATATTTTTATTAAAAAGAGACATTTTTTCTTTTTAATTAAAAAAAAATTTATTCTACTTTATATAACTTTTATAAAATAAAACTTTTGTAATTTTAGGACAATATCCCATTAAAAGCTATAAAAACAATTAGGGAAAATTATATTAATAAACCTGAATTTGATCCTGTAAAAATCAAATCTGCTTCTATAGCTGCAGAAGGATTATGTAAATGGGTTATTGCTATAGCAAGTTATGACAAGTGAGTAATGAATAATTTTTTATACCAATCAATTAAAATTATTTATAATCAATGAACGTTGTTGCTTTTAATAAACATTAAACAAGCATCTTCTCCAATGTTTCTTCAAAAAAAAAAACAATTTATTTTAAAGTTTTTTAATTTTATATATTTGAATTGGAATTGCTAGACAAGAGATTTTTGCAAAAGAAACAAATTAATTTTATAACTAATAAATTATTATAGATTACTAGCAGACAAACCTGGTGTCATTCAGGTTAAAAAACAATTAAATTTTCAATATGGTTAATATCATCCCATGAGAATTATCTAAGTAATTTTATATGTTTATAAAATCGCTGATCATATATTTAAAAAATAAATATCATAAAAAGCAACTGTCCAAATAAACAGTCACATTATAACAAACATTTCACATACACAAAGCTTTGTTGCTGTAAATATTTACACAAGTGTTAATTTGCACCCTACAACAAAATTCATCAAAAGGAAGATACCTTCAAAGTATTAATAGAAATTTCTATTCCTGACTTGAATTTCATTGAAAGAAACTTTTCAAATAAAATTAGAACAAAACAGAAGTTGAGTTGAACTTTAGCATCCTTTGATTTTGACAAGGAATATATTAAAAATAACTAAATATTTAATGCAATATAAAATGTAATTGCATTAATTCATTAATGTTTCTCTTAACTAATAGTTTACTTTAACTTTTTTTAGCGAAATGTGCAATAATCATGCAAAGAACAAATTACAAGTATAATCCTTATTTAGTAGAAGAAATTACCATATTCTCAGTTACCAACATCCCTAAGGTTATGAACAGTGGGGTATATCTATGCTAGAGCAGAAATGATCATCTCACTGATCATATATTGGTACATTTTAATTAATAACTAAGCAGAGGTACATTTTAGTAATTTTAAATTGCACTATTAGATTCTTTGTGAAAAATTATATCTATTAGACCCCTTCACAGTTGTGCAAACAGTTCACCTTTAATTTTTATAACAGACAAACAGACACATTCAGAAATAAAACATATGTATAGACATACAATAAATACTTGCAGTGACACAAGAGAAATTTGCTATCTTTATGAAATTTAACTGATAAATGCCTCTGTAATAGAATTATCTGTTATAGGAATTTGGAATGGTTTATGAATTAATGCTTGATTCATTAATGAGTTTGGACTATATACCATACTAATGAAGAAATTAATGTACTATACTTTGTGTTAACAATGTGAAGCTAAGTTATAATACACAGTAGCACAATCTTTTCTTAAATCTATAGTAGTGAGGCTATGAGTAGGCAAAGTTCTTATTATTTAAGACTTGGAATAACATAGTTATTTGAAATTTGCCTTTTCTCATTTCAATTGCACTACCCATATGGATTGACAGCTCATGACGACAGCTTCTTGTATGTGAAGTAGATGACTTTTGCATGTTCAAATGGAACCTGCCAGCTCCTGCCATCATTATACCTTAAGATGGTCATAGTATTTTACTTGAATAGTGTGTATAATTTTAACTTTTCTCTGAAAAATAAGAGAATGTAAATGTAGAAAGCAAAATGTAATTAATTTGAAATATCCATTTAAGTTATTTTATTCTGATAAAATATTTCATAAACTATGTTTTCAATAATTAGCCTTAAATAATTTTATATTCTGTATTATGTACAATACTGTTTTATTTAATAAAAATATTTTTTCTAAGTTTAATAATACATTTTTTTATTGATTTGTAAAATATTTGAAATTTTATATGATAATCATTAATATAGTTAATTATAATATTTATAAATTTAGAGTATTAAAAGATATAGAACCTAAAAAAGCAGCACTTGTTGAAGCTGAAGAAAAGTTAAAAGAAGCACAAAAAGCTTTTGAAAAAAAGCGTATTGCTTTGGAAGAAGTACAGAAACAATTACATGAAATTCAGCAAATTTTGCAAGTTCATAAATTAAAAAAGATTGGTAATTATATCTTAATATCTTTTTAATATAAAATGTAACTAGTGTTGAGAAATGTTTTCTGCTGAACCAAGTATTGTTTTGTAACACTTAAACAATGCTTTTTCATTTTTAATTGGGTTTTTTTTGCCTATCTTTGTTGATTTCTAAGTTAGTTCTCTTTACTTCCACATTTAATCACTAGGGGTGCTAAAATTACATTTAATGGACTGTATATGGTTACTGTCCTAAAGGTTGACAATTATGCCCGTGGCACTATGACAGGTAGTTTAAAACTTATAGGGAGTGTATGGACTTTCCTATGAACTCTGTATATACTTAGGCTATATATATATTGTATCTATATATTATAATAGCTGTAAAATCTTTGTAGTATGATATAATCTTGCAATGACATTTTATTTTAAATATTTTAAAAATATATAAATGGATATAAACAAGTTATTTTTATTGTATAGGTTTGGAAGAACAAGTTAATAACTGTACTTGTAAACTTAAGCGTGCAGAAAAACTAATTGAAGGTCTTGGGGGAGAAAAAGATCGATGGAGCTATTCTTCCAAGAAATTAGATGATAAATATAAAAATTTAATTGGAGATGTGTTATTATCGTCAGCAGTATTAGCATATCTAGGAGCTTTTACATTATCATTTAGACTGGTAAGATAGTATGGATTTAATAAAAACATAAATTTTTATGATAAAAATAAGTTAAATTTAATATTATTTTTACAAGATTACAACTATTCTAATTATTATTGTTAAGCTGCAATTTGAAAAAATTGTATCTTAACAATTTGAAAAAATTGTAGGCTTATAAATTTCCACTGTCATCCATCTGTTTATTTGTCTGTCTGTCCTTCCTTAATCTAGAGAATAGATAAATTGATTAGTGTTAGATAGATGAAAGCTGAGACCAGATATGGAAAGCTTAAGGAGGCCCTAATTAGTTATATGCAAACTTCCAATGCAAACCAGAAGTTATGTTATTTTAATTCAAAAATTTTCCTGAAAGGAGTTAGATAGATGACTGGCGTGACTCTATTGCTAAAGGAAAAGAGTTATGTATAGGGCAAGACACTACTACAGTAATTTGAAGGTGGAGAGCATATATTTTAAATAAAATAAATTTAAAAAATATGATTAAAAATTGCAGCCAGACATTGTGATGATGTCACAATAAAATAATGCTCATTTATAATTAATTTTATTGAAGTAGTAAAATATTTTGAAAAGGAATTTTAAAGTAAGCTAAANCTAATTTATGTACTATATATTAGACATTTTCAAAATTTAAAGCCCATAGCAATAATGAAATCAAAACACTAGACATCAGACACACTAGAAAGAGGAATCTAATATGATAATTTTTATTTTCTATATTTTTTACAATTGAAATGCCAAAGTGTAAGAATTGGAACAACAAAGATGTAAATGCTATGTTATTTGATATAAAACTACATATAACAAAATAAGAGAAAGTTAAAAAATCAAGTTAAGTATATTAAAAATATATCATACAGTAAATATTTCTAATTATATTGTATTTAAATTTTTCAAAAATTTTGAAGGATAAAGTTCAGACTTTAAAATATTATTGTATCAAAAATTTTATAATAAATTGTAAATTCATTGTAAAATTTTTAATATAAAATAATTAATATAAAATTTACAATAAAATTATTCATCTTCATAAATGCTTCATCTTGATAAATGAAGCAAAACAGAACTAATGTTAGCAGGAAAGGTATGTTTTTACTTATCATAATTTTACAGATGTGAATAAATATCATATAATGAAAAAATAGCCACATTCTTTTTAGTTTTTTCAAGCTCTCTAATGGTAATTCTTTGGATTAAAAATATTTTTTTTTTATATAAAAATATTGCTATTCCTAATTTTTTTAAACTGATTTTCAGTTATTTTATTTGAAATTTTAAAATTACATTCAAAAATATTAAATATAATAACCAAATTTAGTGGATTACAAAATATTTTTAGATAAAATTAGGTTACTAAATTATTAGCATTATGAAATTAACATATAAAGTTGGTTTGACGTCATCTATAATAAATTTGTTGAAAACTGTCAGTAATTTTTATATTTGATATGTATATTGGTAATATACTCATCAAGTACTTGTATATAAGAGATGTAGATCCAGTTTCTTTTTACATTCATTTCTTTTCCTATTTTTCTAAGCAAGTTTTAGTTTTCAGTTGTAGTTTTATCGTCAGAACAATGCTATAACTGCAAATAACTATCACTAATTGTTTTCAAAATATTGGTCTATAGTAAATGAATACTGTATATCAATATACATATTCTTTTTGAATAAAAACGTTAATGGATTTTGTTTTACAGTTATTTTTAATATCTTAAGTTGTAGTAGTTTTGTATATTAAATTATATTAATAAATATGAGTTAAAAAATACAAATGCTAGATACTTAGAATTCAAACAAAATATGAGAGGGTAGACAAAACACTGATGGCTGAGTAAATTCAATTTGATGGTTAAAGATAATATTGACAATTTTTTAAATAACAACAAAACTTTTATCTACAAGGTCTGTTCAAAAAGTATCGGACCTTATTTTTTTCCGCGTAAACCAATGATGTGCGAGAGGCCTCCTTTGGTGGAGTTGTGGAGGGGACAGTCATGCACATCTCTGAATTTTTTCCCGCCTGCAGGAAGCGTCAGTCGTTGGCAATCGGCCTATGAGTGAGGTGATGTAGAGCGCTCTCGTCGGATTCCACTAAGCTGAAAAATGACTGAACAACGCGAGCAGCAGTATTACATCAAATTTTGCCAAAAACCTTGGCGATACCCGAGTGTAAATCATTCGCAAGATTCAGCAGGCTTTCGGGGACGATCCTCGAGGCCAAAAAAGCGCGGCAGGTCTGCAGCAATATCAAAGGTCATGTTGACAGTTTTTTCGACTCTCGTGGGGTGGTGTGTCGTGAGTACGCACCACAAGGCCAAACCATCGCAAAGGAGTACTACCAGGAGGTCCTTCGTCGTCTTTCCGATACAGTGCGACGCAAACGACTGGATCTGTGGTCGATCAAAACTTGGCAGCTCCATCGTGATAACGCATCCGCCTATTCTGCGCATCTGATTCAGGCTTTCGTCGCCAAACACAACACTCCTGTGGTTCGTCACGCTCCGTAATCTCCCCACATGGCTCCGTGTGACTTTTGGCTATTTCCCAAGCTGAAAATGCCGCTAAAAGGAACACGAATTTAGTCGAGAGAAGACATCGTGCGAAATGCGACGGACCGGCTGATGGCCATTCCAGAAAATGCGTTCCAGCAGTGCTTTCAGCAATGGCAGGAACGCTGGGAGAAGTGTATACATTACCAAGGAGACTACTTTGAAGGGGATTAGGGTTTTGTACCTCAAAGTCAATAAATTTATTTTTGCCGACCAAAGGTCCGATACTTTTTGAACAGACCTTGTATGTCATTTCTTGAAGATATCTAGTGCTATGATGTACTAAAAAACAGAAAAGTTTTTGAACTTTGATAACACATTTTTTATACACACTTTTACTATATAATTATTGCAGTTAGGCCTCCTACAACGCGGTACCTTTACAACGCGTTTTCACTCCAATGCGATTGGAAAAATGCGGAAATTTTCTTACAATGCAGTACTTTTACAACGCGGTTTACAGTATTTAGAAACAAATTATCTTTCACATAACAGAAAAATTGCAACGGATCACGTGATACAAGCTGCAGTTTGGCATACATAGCTAAATGTCCTTGGAAAAAGCTGTTTGTCAACGTTGGCATGTTATTCCCTTGAAAGTTTCAGGGGAAGACCAGTTTCTAGACAGAAGTGCATCAGTTACCATAAACACTCAAATATATCACAAAATTTTCGATCATTTATACTCTTTCAATAAGTGGGGACTGCAAAAATGGTCCAAAATACAGTATAAACTTCTATTGGGTGTATATTTTTAACAACATAGTGAAAGGAAGTTATTTTTTGTGATTTTTACTGTCCACAAAACTGTTTGAAAAAATTTTATCCATAACAATGCCGAATGAAAAGAAAGGACTGTCGTTAAAAAGAAAATTTATAACTCCTCAAAGATATAAATTTTGGATTGAATTAAAAATCAAGAGCGAATAGCTGATATTAGTAGGCATTTTAATTTAAATGAGTTGACTATTCGATCAATTAAGCAATTGGGAGAAAAGATTAGGAATTTGGTCGCATCCGGATCATCTATTCTTGCAAAAAATGTTGCTCGTCCAAGAGCACCTATAATGGAAAAAATGGAACAAGCGCTAATATTATGGGTAGAAGATATGAACAAGAAATGGTTGCCTTTAAATAAAACTGCACTTAAACACAAAGCCTTAAAAATATTTGATTATTTAAAACAAATGGGACAGTTGTCAGCTGATGAAACCAGTGTTAAATTTGTGGCTAGCAATGGCTGGTTTGAAAAATTCAAAAAACATCATTCAAACGCCAAGTTTTTCTCTTTTTAGAACTGAATCCCAGTTTTTGTATTAAGTTGGTGTCTCCTATAACGCAATTTTTTACAACGCGGTATTTTCAAGGAACATATCTACTGTGTTGTAGGAGACCTACCTGTATTTTAATTTTAGAAAAATGCAAAATTATGATTTATGGAAAGAAATCAAAAAATTATTTTAGGTTTTTGTTTCACAATGTATATTAATGTTAAAATAAAATTATGTCTGTCTGTCTGCTCTTTTTTCTTTATTGAGAACACCTTATGATTAATTGAGGCAAGATACTCTAGGTGTCACATGCACATGTTCAGCTTAGTTTCAAAATGGCAACTATGCTTCAGGAGTATACAATTAAAGAGCAACATTTTGGTGTGCATTTTATAGGCAAAAGGCATTCCTGCAAGGAAATTCGTAAAGAAATGTTTCCTGTTTACAGTGAGAAGTGTTGTCATTTAAAGTGGTATGCTACTAGATTGATAAATTTTCTCAGGGTCAAAAGTTGCTGATGAAGACTGATTTGGTGAACCTGTTAAAATTGCAACAGAAGCAACTGTGTGGTGGTGGAGATGATTCAAGCTGACAGATGATTAACTGTAGATCAATGGTTCCCAAAGTGGGAGATACCATCCATGGGGCAGTGAGTAAATCTAGGTGGGTGAAAAGAAGGATGGCACTGGAAGCTGGAACTGAATGGTGACCATATGTGAGAATTTGGATCACTGACAACCTTTCCCTTTCCTCCATTAAAATGGGTAAGAAGAAACATTGCATTTAATGATTTCCAGATGTTGACAATAACATACAGTAAGGACATAAAGTGTGAGGTTTGTAGAAAAGCTTTTCTAAGAATATTTCCAAGCCTCTCAAGTAATTAATAGCATTGTAATTGTGGAGATCTCCAAGCCTATTAACTTCATTCTGGTTTGGATGTCATTTGGATGACCATTGTTCTGACATCTTCCTACTTCTTCAAAAGATCTTTAATAGCAGATGTCGGCATTGGTCCTCTTTTGTATTCTTCTTTTTCAAAAGAAAACACATTTCACTGAGTTTCTTGGTGTTCTTCACTTGAGAGTTCTTGGAGTTCTTCTGTCAGATCAGTTTCAGGTTCCATTATGAGCTCTAAAATGCTTTTTATTTCTCAGATGTGATTTTCATTACTCCATTAGCTGATTGAGACTTCTTGATGTATCTTTCATAGCTAAGAGTGTGCCTACTGTAAACCTGTTCAAGTTATACTGCCTAGCAACATCAGACATCTTGTGCCCACTCTCTACCTTATGACACTCTATTATCTCTTGTTTGGTTTCTATGGTGAGCACAGTTCTTGACACTCCATTCTTTTTAGGCTCCATAATATTATCAGTTTCTTTTTTAAAAAAAAGTTCAGAAAAGCACTTACAAAAATTTAGAGAACAGAAATCAACTAGTGTACATTTAAATGCAAGGCCCTGATGAATTCGAAATTTGGTATTAAAATGTTTACAAATATCCAATGGAACAGTTAAACTCTCGCCTTTCGTAAATAAAAACCAACACAAAACTTAACAAGTATTCTCCCAACATGAAGTTTATAAAAAATTATTTGTCAGAAAGGTAAACAAAAAGCTGGAATTACAATGGAGAGTTTGAAAATTCTAAGGAATACTATCCAATTGGTATCGGGTTGAGTGTCGATGTCGACATCTTCAGAGCTCTGAAAGGTTTCAAATTGTTACCTGAAGACAAGGGAAGACCAATCGGTATTCACTATTTTATGTTGCTTCTTTTTCTGTTTGTTCTGTAAAGTGTTTGTTATCTGAACATGTGTTCATTGTCCGAACATAAAAATCTTTCACGAAAGTTTGTTATCTGATTTGTTCACTGTCCGAACTGTTCGTTAACCAATCACTCACTGTATATGTCCTGAAATGTACTGTACATATTGGTTTAACAAAATCTCAGTGAGCTTTCCAATTGAAAACCGTGGTGTGATAAGTCCCTAAAATTTATATCAAATTACATATAGCTGTTAAGAAGATTTATTACAATATTGGAAAAAAAGCAAATAATTATAATCCTTCTTTGCCTTCATCCAAGAAATTTAAGGAAGGTTAATCTTATAGTGTTTAGGGATTATCAAGTATTGTCCAGAAGCCAGGTCAGAATGTGAATATTGAATCATACTGTCTAGTTCTGTCAAAGCTTCACATTGCAATTAAAAATATATAAACTTACTGACAAGGAATACTGTTTAATCATGATAATGCCAAATGTCATTTGGCTTGGTTAAACTGGAGAAAATTGAACAATTGGAGTGGAAACTTCTTGATCCTTACAGCATCATTTTAGCCTCAAGCAATTTTCACCTATTTAGTCTATTAAAAAATCATTTTAGATGCAAATATTTCACAAATGTTGAAAAGTTTGAATGTGAGGTGATATGGCTAAAACAGCAGACCCAAAACTTTTATGCAGCCTGTATTGAGGCTTCAATAAAACAATGGGATATATATCATTCATACATTAAATGAGGGAGATTATGTTGTGAAATAAGCGAACTTGTAAATGTAATGATAAATGATTTTCAAGTCTCTATTTCATTTAGTATTTTTTAATAGTCATTTATGACCTATTTACTGATTTCTCTTGTACTTTATACTGTAGAATCAATTATTATATTGGATAAAAATTACTGAAGAGGAAAATATTATATGTAGTAAAGATTTTTCCTTATCTGAAGTTCTTGGTGATCCTGTAATTATTAGAGAATGGAAAATTGCTGGTCTTCCTGCAGATAATTTCTCAGTTGAAAATGCTTTAATTGCAAAGTTTGTAAAACACTATTTCTAATTTTTTGCATTTATGCATTTAACTTTTAAAATTTATTATTAATTTAACAAAATTGTCTTTAGAAATGGTATAAAGTGGCCATTAATGATTGATCCTCAAGGTCAAGCTAATAGATGGATTAAAAACATGGAAAAAGACATTAAAGTTATTAGGTTGACTGATAAAAAGTTTTTTCATACATTACAAGACTGTATTCAGGTTGGAAACTCGGTAAGATTTAAATATTTCGTCAATAAATATCAATATTCTAAATAGGAATAATAATTTAATTGTCTTATATCATATAAAGTAATTATGAATAAAAAGAAATATATTTATTTCAGGTTTTAATAGAAAATGTTAATGAAGATTTGGATCCTATTTTGGAACCATTATTACTAAAACAGACATTTAGACAAGGCGGTACCTTATGCATTAAACTTGGAGATAGTACTATTGAATATTCTGATAACTTTAGGTTATATATTACTACAAAATTACGTAATCCTCATTACTTGCCTGAAATGTTTGTGAAAGTGGCAATTATAAATTTTATGATTACACCAGCTGGATTGGAGGATCAATTGCAGGGCATTGTTGTAAGAAAGGAAAAGCCAGAATTAGAATTTGAAAGAAACCAATTAATTATTCAAAGTGCAGAAAATAAAAAGTTAGCTTTTTTTTTTTCATTTTCTAAATATTTTAAAAAATACATATTTTGTTGTATATTATAAATATGTTAACTTCATATTAAGTACAAGATAATGCAATTTTTAATCATAGTCTTTATTTTATTTATGAAGTTTTCATAAATAAAATAAACATAATACCAAACTATTATGCTTATAATTTATAAATTAAATTATGAAATAAAATGTAAAATTATCAAATTATGCTAATTTTACAAATTTTTAATTTCTGTACATTTTCTATTTATAGTTCTTGAATATATCAAATATTTCAAATCAATTCTTTTTCTATCTCTATAAAACTTTAATTATGATAATTTCATATTTTATTTTAAAGAATAATATATTTAAGTTTCATTAAATTTGTTAAATTTTAGAAAGTTAAGGGATTTAGAGGATAAAATATTGAAACAGTTATCAACTTCTGAAGGAACTATATTAGAAGATGAAGTTGCCATTAACATTCTTTCATCATTGCAATCTGTTTCAAATGAAATTCAAGAAAAACAGGTTTATTTTAGAATATATGATATAGTTGTTAATTTGTATAATATATATGTTTAATAAAAATATGATAAATATTTAATTAAGTTAGGTTATATAATAATATAAACAAAAATAATATTTTCTCAATTAATATATAATATAATAAATTTACAAAATTTATTACTATGCTTAGCCAATATATAACTGGATTTCTGCATTTACTATTACTATTAATGCATTTAAATTATAAAAAAAATTTAAAAATGTAAATTTTTAAAATAAATAATAGTAACAATTACTACAGAATACCAGAATTATTTCACTTAGAAATGTGTTCATTTTTTTAAAAGAAGAGATTAAGCTCCACTTTCATTTAAGAATGTCCTGTAGTTTGTTAACAAACATTAGATCAAACATTTTTAAATGTATATAGAAATATAAATTCTTATATTTTAAATTATATATGTATAAGTTTTCAACAAACAAAAGTACCAAAATTAAGTAGTCATAAATAATATGTAATTGGCATCTGAAAAAGAATGAAAACATTTCTAAGTAAAATAATTTTGATATTTTAAGTAAGCATTACTATAATTTATATTATTATGGTGCCAAATTCTAAAGAAAGTATATATTTTTTTTAATTTAAAAAAATGAATTTTAACTTTGTTAATTTTCAATTGTGAAAATTTTAACTTTTAATAAAATACTTCATAGTTTTATATCCATGTATATTTTATTATCCACAGTCAATTAATTTCATTAACAAAACAATGTTATTAAACAGTTATCCAAAGAAGTTATTAAAAAATGATATTAAAAAAAAATTAAAAGAATTTAAGTTTTGTTTTACTTTTGTTTAACATGTTGATTGTCAAATGCAATTCAACCCAAAGTTGCCAGTCTGTTACCAGAAGCTACCTACAAGATGATGTAAAATTCATTCTTACTTTTAATGTCAGAAATGAATTTATTTATAGGAAATAAATGTAAATAATAGGTAATTGCCATTTGAAATAAGACTGAAAAATATGCTCTGCTGGAAGAGAACAAAATATTTATTTACAGAAAAAATAATACAAAATAATTGAACTAAATTGTTTTATATAGTTTGCTTTGTGTTTACACGCTGTTCGTGATGCACTTAAGACCCCCAGTAAGACAGGAATACAAACACTTACTCTGAATACTTTATTCAGGGTTCTACTTGGACCAGATGATCTCCAGTCGCGTACATTAATCGGCCGTCTGTCTTGCACGTGCCGCTCTCTCTCTGGTGTTGCCAGATCTTTCCGTAACATAAATCATCACAAAAACTGATGAAAATAATGAGTTTATTGGTGATATATTGTCGAAACATTTCTCCAGAAAAAAAAAAAGCTGATTTCTCTTGTCACAGTGAACTATAATAATGTATTTCAGAGCATTTATAATCTTTTGTGCATGTTGGACATGTCATGGTTGAGCATATTTATGTTTTTAGTGGATGGTACAGCATCTAAATAATGAAGGTCATCTTCATTCCTAATTTTTTGTATAATATTTGATTTTATTTTCAATTAAACACTTTAATAAGTTTTTTTTGAATTTCAGACTTTTTGTGCTTGAACCATTTATTTGATGAAAAAGGATAGGGTTCTCCATTAATTACATGTATAGTTTAAGGAGAGAGGAGAGTTATGAAAAGTACAGTACATCACTGTACATCATGAGGAGGAAGGAAGGAGGGTCAAGGCATTGTCTATGTAGATTTTAATGATATAAGTGGCAAATGAATTTGTTCTTATAAGAATACTTACTAGCTAGTGAATAAATTGTCAGTTATTTGTAGAACTTTTTAAAGTTATTTTTTGAAAATGAAAGAGATTCATGAATTATTGTATTATACATGTAATTAAAGATGATAATTTTTCCAAAACTACATCATTGTACAGAAAGAGGAGGGATGAGGTCAAAATTGGCTCAAAATTGTCCATGAAATTAATAGACAGCTCCTTATATGCATTATCCAAAACATGTAATTTAACTTTTTGGTCATCTGATGGTTTTCTTTTGATAATAAGGAAGTACTTGAACTGCTCATTCTCTGTTGGACATTTCATTATTATAATTTGTATTTATATTTGGTTTTGTTTGAATTATCAGAATCACCTGGGATGATCAAATTATCTTATGATTGGCCTGTATGAAGAATTATCTATTTCATACTACAGGAATAAGATAACTGACATAGAGATTTTGGCAAAAATAAACTTTCATAAGAATTTGGCAGAAGAATAATTGTTACAAATAATTAGTAAATCTGTACTACAATTATTGTAGTACAGATTTTTTTTATTACTATAAAGAAATTTAAATAATGTAATTTGTTTTTGAAACAAATGCTTAAAATCGTTAAATTCTTGTAATGTTGCTTTTTGAAATTGATCAATACACATATACATTCAGAGAGTGAAAAAGAAAAAGAACAAAATAAGTTACTTTACATAGGTAAATGTTTGCGGTAAAAAGAAAATTATCATTTGATTTCATTCTGGTTTTTCATTACTGGTAATGCATATTTATTAATATGAATATTTATATTAATATTAATTACAATTATAATTAATTAAATATAATTATAATTATATTATATTAATATGAAAATAAAAAATTTTATATGAAGTCAAATATTTGTTTTCATTCATTTTATCTCATATGAATGAAAACAAATATTTGACTTTATATAAAATTTTTTATTTTATACTGTAAATTTATTTTTAAAATATTATATATTCTAATTATTTAAATTAGGTAAAATAAACTATATATTATAAATTTTTGTTTGATTAATTAAAATATTTACTTTTCTCTATAGTTTGTTGATATGTAGAGATTTCTATATATGAATAAACATTATCATATTGCTAAATTTTGAAAAAATATTTTTAGGCAGTTTCAGAACAAACAGAAACACAAATAGAAGAGGCTCGTGTTGGATATCGATCAATTGCTGTTCATTCATCAATACTGTTTTTTACAATAGCAGATTTAGCTAACATTGATCCAATGTACCAATATTCTTTAAAATGGTTTATTGCTCTTTTTGAAAATTCTATTGATTATTCAGAACATGGAATGACATTAGAAGAAAGATTAAAAAACTTAAAATCTCATTTTACTTACTCTCTTTATTCAAATATTTGCCATAGTTTATTTGAAAAAGACAAAGTAAGTATATGTAATGATTTTTGTTTGCTGATGATAAAAATTTAAAGTTTAATAATTATAATTTACTGAAAATTGTTCAATATGAATAAATTTAGTGTTATTTAACAATAACAGTATTAATAAGATATGTACATTTTTACACTCTTCTCTAACTGCACTTAAATAATAACCAAACCTCTACACAAACCTTTAAAAACAAACCATTTTTATTCTTAACTTCTTTTAACTAGTCCATTTATCCTGTCATAAAGAACAAAAGTCAAATTAAGCTTTATACATTTTTCTTTATGTAATATTCATTACATTTATTAGCATTATTATAAACAAAAAGCAATTATACATATATAAATTTTAATAATTTTTAACTGCACATTATCTTTAACATAATCAAATATTCTTGTTTCTTCTAATTCTATGTCACAACTTGGTGCATTTATCGACACTTGGCAAATAATTTCATCATCCACTTTTAATTCATACAGATACGCATTTCGGGCTTTTGCCCCTCTTCAGTCTGTTACATCGATAGGTTGTGACTTGTGTATACAGTATCAGTCAGGCACCTTTCGTACTTCCCACAACCCTCCCCTCCCCTCTTCTCCCGACTTGACGGCCTCCCCCGCATGCCTCGTAACTTGTAACGTGTCACTTCCCCAAGTGCTGCACACAGCCTCGCCTGCGACTGTATAAACATTTTATTTTTAAAAATTGTAGCCAGTTTTTATGAATGTGCTCCGTTCGTGGCTTCTTTGAACAGGTAAACAAAAGTTTTGATAAAATAAATATAAAGCTAGCCCCAACCTATAACAACTTGCAAAAAAGAATCCAGAAGGCTGAACCTGACATAAATAAACAACCAGACAAATACAACACTACTGAAGTCATCTATAAAATACCTTGCACATGCGAACCGCCAAAAGTATACATTGGAGAAACAAAACGAAATTTAGAAACAAGATTAAAAGAACACATCACAGACCTGAAGCAGTTGCAGGCGAGACTGTGTGCAGCACTTGGGGAAGTGACATGTTACAAGTTACGAGGCATGCGGGGGAGGCCGTCAAGTTGGGAGAAGAGGGGAGGGGAGGGTTGTGGGAAGTACGAAAGGTGCCTGACTGATATTGTATACACAAGTCACAACCTATCGATGTAACAGACTGAAGAGGGACAAAAGCCCGAAATGCGTATCTGTATGAATTAAAAGTGGATGATGAAATTATTTGCCAAGTGTCGATAAATGCACCAAGTTGTGACATAAAATTAGAAGAAACAAGAAGAAGAAGAAGACATGATTTCAACAAATAAATAATCAGATATAGTTTAAGTTACTGTTATGGGTGTCTAGGGGTGGGCAAATACTCCATTTTCTCTCTTCTGGACATCCAAGTGGACCTCTGTGGACCAAGAAAATTCCACAAATTATTCTAAAAGTGATTGCAATATGTTACCTTGTATCCTTGACCATGGACCACTCTGTCTGTCTGAAAAAACCGAAAAAAGTAAATAATTAAATAAAAATCTATTGATGTAATTATTTTTGTTCCAAATTTGTTCTCTACTGGAAAATTTTCTGCAGACATGGTTACTGTGCAGAAAGTTCCATTGCTTTCCAATTTATCACTTTTATTTGTTTACAAGATGATATAATTTACAATATGAATAATGATGATAATATTTTTCTTGATGATAAAATAAAGAAATTAAAAGGAAAGATGATAATTTTTTTAATATACAAACATGACCAAAAATATTCAAAATGAGAAAAAAATTAATTTTTTAAATTTGACTTAATTTTAGCTAGAACAAAAATATTTAATGATATTGCATAATAGAGAGAGAAACAGTATATGATTGCATTCAACAAGCAAACATTTGACTTTTAATATTTGTGAATTAAATATCATTATCAAAAAATTATTTATAAAGTTAAATTTTTTAATCTTAAAACCATGAAATCAAATTATTGTTAATTGTAAGAAATTTATCATAATATAATTATAATATAATAGATAAATTAATTTTAAAATACTGTAATTCCCTTCCTGCACTCCATGATTATGTGTTAGAAAAACTTTTCAGTTTCAATAGTGTGAATTATAAGCCACTAGATTAACTTGCAACAACTTTTCTACACCATGTAAAAATGGCTTTCATATCATTTTACTGTTTGTTAGATTAAGAAGTTTTCTTGACATGATAAAACATGACAGGATATCTTGTTGTTTATATGTCGTAGACATTTCCTAGAATTTACCAATAATGAATACGAGGTTATATGAGGGCATATGAGGTGAAGAAGGGTAATTTTTTGAGTGGGTGCTCTAGGAGAAAATAACTCAAAAGGAGAGAGATGTTGCAGTGTCTGGTGCCTGAGAGACATGTGAGAACTTTGAAATTCCCAGACTGGAGTCATGGTGTTAGAGTTGGTGTTTCAGTTTGACTAGTCAGAGTGAGTGACTGGGTTTTTTAATCAACTAGATGAAGAAAAAAACCCCTACTAGAACAGTAAGTGGGAGTGGAAGGTAGAAGATAGTATTGGGTGTTTACAAAGCTCACATGTGGCTCTGAACAATCTGGGTATTCTTTCTTATTCTGTCCTATTAACTTTGCTACTTCTTGCCTTCTATTTTCTATTTCCTTCTAGTTGTAAATTAAGTATTAGTGTTGAACAATATTTTTGATCTATGTGTATATAAAATCTATTACAGACCCATGTCAAATGAAGAATTTTTAAAATTAATTTACTACTTATGAAACATTTTTTTATTTTAAAAATTGGCTTAAAAGTTTACTATATAAAAGTTTTGATATCTACATAAAAATTTACAGTTTAATATCAAATAGAGAAAAATTTTTTCTCTGTTGATATTAAATTTTTTTCAGACAATTTACTACTAGGAAAAATTTGGCTGGTTATCAGATCATGTGATCTTTATTAAAAATTTGGATAATCTTTATAATGATCAAAATATTTCAAAATAAAAAAGTTATCATTTAATATTTATTTAATAAGTAATCATTAATAAGAGGATTTAAGATTCTAGTTTTAAAAATTGTTTTTATTAACTGTATATACAGAAAAATGAGAAATTATCTATACAAAAAACTTAATTTTATTATCAAATTTTTTCTTTGTTAATCTCACTTTGAGAATTACATAATTCTTAAATTGCATAATTTTTAATTATATTATTTTTAAAAGAAAATCATAAAATTAATTATCATATCTGCCCAGATATATGATAGATTTTTCTAAATTCTAGGTCCAAAAATCCATTCTTAACCTATACCCAAGTATGACCTACATGCAGATACTTGGCTTTAATACAGGTGTGAAAAAATCCTTGATACACTTAATCGTGTTCCAGTATTTTTTTTTGCCTAACATAAGTTATGGTCGATATTCTATGCAAATAAGAGTATAATTAAAGTTGGTATAATATTTTACACTCTGTATTTCACTCTCAAAGGTTGCAGGAAATCCTGCATTATGGAATTTCAGGTAGTCTACATTTTTTCTTAACAGACAGAGATGGATTGTTAAATGAAAGTTTGAACTGAACAAAATATAACCCAATCAAAATAAGTATCTGAATGTAGAAGCTTTGATGTGAACATTAAGCTTATATGCATCAAATATGCTGAGAAAAATAACACTAGCACAGTTGCTCACATGTTCAGCATATCAAGAAAAAAACATAAGTGATTTGTCACACAAATAAGATTGATACATGGTATTCTCTAGGTCGATTTATGCTTTATTGGAAAGAAAATTTTTTTGGAGAAAACTAAAAAAATTAGGAATCAACCTATATTCAGATTAACTTATATTCAGACAAATATGGTATTTACTGCATTTGATGTAATAATTTATAAAACTAATTTTTTAATGAATTTATAAATTTTTATTGTTTTACAGAAATTTTTATAAGATATTATTTTATTTTATATTATGTAAAGTTTAATGCTATGTTAAAAGAAAACTTTTAAATTTTGTAACAAAATATTCAAGATCTACTTTTAACAATAATTTCAGTTGCTGTTTTCATTTCTCCTTTGCATTAATTTATTGAAATATGATGATAAAATTAATGAGGAAGAATGGAATTTTCTTTTGACTGGTGGAATTTCTTTAGAAAATATATATGAGAAACCAGCAGAATGGATTCCTTCTATATCTTGGGATGAAATATGCAATTTAACTACTTTAAAAACATTTGAAAATTTCAGAAAATCATTTTCTTCAGATCTGAAAGAATGGAAGAATATATATGATAGTTTAGTAAGTTTTCAATATACCTTAATGTTTTTAAATATTATTTTCAATTCTATTTTATTCAGTATATGTATATATGCTGTGAAATTAGAAGTGTGTATGTATATGTAATGTATGTATAGGGCTATTCAAAATGACTGTATTGGTTTTAAAAAGTCATCATGTATACAAACTTTGGAATAGAAATACAATTTACATTTTGTTTTGTAAAGCCATCTCTCAGAATTTTTTACATCTATTACAAATTTTCAATATGTGCCACTTCTGTAACTCTACCAATACAGTAGAGCATCGATTATCTGACTCAATTGGGGACTCAGGTTGGTCGGATAATTGAAAAAACCGGATAACCGAAAAAAATGAAAAAAATACATTATTAGTATAGTACAGGGATGGCGAACCTTTTTGTATTCATGTGCCATATTGTAAGCATACTTAGCTTTAAAGATGTTTATGCATGCCAAAGTTTCAGACTTCGAATAACGATATTTAAAGAAATTAAACGAATACGCTTTAATTAGAATAAATGTAAAAAATCTGATTGAAAAAAGGATGATTGGGTGATAAACTGAAAAGATTATTGAAAAAGACAGAAATCGTATGATACATTACGTGCCAGATGATTTCTCTTTACGTGCCACTTTGGGCACATGTGCCATAGGTTTGCCACCCCTGGTATAGTATATTAGTATATCCCATGTAATTAGTATATTAGTATATCGCTATTAACCAATGTCACGTTGAATTTTCATTGATGTTAAGCCTAACAAATTTTTTTTTAAATAATAATCGTCGCTATTGTATCGTTAAAAATTAGAAAATTAAGCCTCGTTTAAATACTGGCTCCCTTTCATGGTCGAATGAGTGTTGCCAGCTAAAACACGTAAAAATAATATTAAAGTAGCCAAGACATAGCCAAATATTGTAGTGCCACATCACTAGCGGACATTTGAAATTTGCCGACTAGAACGGTCGGTTAACTGATGTGACGGTTAATCGGGGGTCGGATAATCGATGCTCTACTGTATCTATATACAATATGATAGTTCAGTTTATCTTACATGCTCCTTTTAACTTATTCAGACATCCTGTCTCTTGAAATTGCACATACCATCTGCTAATGGAATTGTCAGTTGGTAGATCCTTCCAAAATTTAATGTGGAAATGCTGCTGGATACTGATACCAGACTGAATTTTATGAAACTCCAGGACACAGAAAGATTTCTCACTGCTGTTAGTGGCCATTTTGCAAAACTTTTTGCTACCTTGGGGCAAACATGTAACTACATAGATGCAGGAAGTATGGAAAAGCTTGATGAGTTTTCCTATCTATCGATGCAATGCTGGTATCAATGCATAAGAACAAAATAATGAAACCAATACAAGAATTTTTAATAGCCCTATATATACACATAGACATGCACTTCTACTTTTTACTCAATTTTTATTCAGGATAATAAACTAATAAACTTTAATAATTATCAATTAATTATACTCTAAATTAAAAACTAAAAACTAAAAATTTAGTTTTTGTAAATGAATAAGACAGTTATATTTGATTTTAAATAACTTTACAATCACAAGTGATATAAGCTGAGCTAATTTGAAAATTAAATTTTTGAATAATTATAGTGAAAAATTATTTAAAATTGTTTTTGGATTAAATAAACTGTTTATTTTATTTTTGACCAAAAGTTTTAAAGTTATAAAGTTTTGACTAAATATAACTTATATATTTAATAAACTTATCATAATATTTTACTCTATATGTGAGTAATTTTATTTTTAAATATATAACATAAATACAAGATATTAAATCAATTAAAGATGTAATAAGATTTTTTATATTTTTCATATTTAGACTCCTGAATATATGAATTATCCCTTTCCATGGACAAATTTAAGTGAGTTTCAAAAACTGCTTATTTTAAGATGTATTCGTCCAGATAGAATTATTCCAAGAGTTAGGAATTTTATCAAAAAATATCTTGGAGAAAAATATATTGAAATTCCACCATTTGATCTTGAAAAAGTTTATTTTCAAAGCAACAGTTGTACTCCATTAATATTTATACTTTCTCCAGGAGCAGATCCCACAGCTGCTCTTTTAAAATTTGCTTCTGATCAGGTAATAGAATTAATTGAATAAAACAATATATAAACTCTGAGTATAATATATAAATATTTATAAATTTAAAATATTTTGTATTATTTTCCACTAAAAATTATCCATAAAAGCTTCATAAAGTTTTAAATATAAATTTATAGCAAATTTTACAATACTGAATTTTAATACAAAAGAAATTTATCTTTAAAAGTTTACTTTGTGACATTCAAAAATTAATATGTCACTATTTATGTAAATAGGAAAGTTATTATCTGTCTAAAAGTTGGTGTAGAGAGGACTGCACATCTTCGTGCTATTACCATGTGTACTTTTCAGACAAACTCGCTTTATGCAAAAAATTTTGATCTTTCAATATCTTGTCATAAAACTTACCACATTTCATGTTACACTTTTGTCTTACATTTAGCATTGTTTTAATTGATTGGATACTTAACCCGGATTTCTTCTTAGACAACATGCATAACATAATAGAAAATATTCTTTCTATGGATGCTGTACTTCTAGGCAGATTCAGAATAAATTCTACTATGTTACAAATTCTCTGAAACTATAGACATTGTTCACTCATTTCAGAAAATATTTGCACTCACCTATCAAATACAAAAATATTTTCTTCATTTTAAGCATTCAATCATCCCACAATTATACCTTTCAAGAAGTCCACTGATCAAATAGTTTTGTCTATTCAAATCCGTGTGATCAGATCCATGTTCAGAGTGTCATAAATTTCTTTCCATTCAGATACCTCCTTTCTTAGTTATACCTACTTGAATTTCTGTGTTATTTTGAGGTGCACTTTCACTGAATATACTGTATAAACATACAGTATATTCTAAACTGGTTTCATAGAAATTCTCAACTACTTAAAAATCTTAAGTTCAGTAATTTCACCTGAATCTACTTATGCTTCTAGTAATTTTTTGACATTAGTTCAGAACCTTCATAGTCTCATTAGACAATGAGACTATGAAGTGGCTAAGTCCCCTCAGCCTAGTCAGTAGTGTCCACGTGCAGTTTGTGTAATATATGCTTTAGCTTTTGTTACATAAATTTAGGCTTTACATTTTGTTAAGCCTAAGTTACATTTAGGTTTACATTTTTTTTATACTTAGACTATAGCCAATAGACCTATTGTTGACTAGAAAAGAGAAAGATTTCAGTCAGAATTCTTTTGGCTTGCTCCTGTAGCCCCCCAATGTTTATATATGGCTATGGAAATGCATTAGTTGTAACAAACAGCTCACTGCTGTGGGCTGCTGATATGTTGGCAGAATGCTCAATTTTAATATTTCATCTACAGAAATAGTAGTTATTGTTTTCAATGAAGCTGATGTGTGTGTTTAGAATGTAGAAATTTGATGTCTTGCAAATGACAATCATAATTTTAAACAGGAATCTACAAACAATTTCTGCAACATGATGGCATATTTTTTTTTTTTTGATAAAGAAAATATGAATGAAGTCTGTCAGACATGCTTAAAATTCTGTCAATTGATGGGCCCAAGACAAAAATATTGTGTTTCCATGTTCTAACAGTTTAGCATTATATTAAACTGTTTCCTGCAAAGCCACAAAAGTTTTTAAGTTCTTCAATTCTGACTGTATATTGTGAGATTCGCCGGGGGTACTTATCTACTAAGATAATTAGTATCACTTAATCGGCAGCTAGTTGGTGAAACTAGTCTCATTCGTCCACAAGAATGGCTTTCCTATTTAATAGGAAATCGAGTGGCGGAGGGTCTTATAGTTAAATTAGAATTTAGAGCGGAAGTTGGTGATGGCGAATTCACCTTATTCCTTATGTCAGGGTCCCGACACCAGTTTATCTACTTCTCGTAACGCGGATAAACACGCGTGAAATTTATGCCGTAGATCTGATTCAGGAAATAGTCCAGAGACATCTCTAAACAAAATATAGAGAATTTAATAAACAAAATGAACAATATTAATACAAAATAAGAAATAGTCAAAAATCCAAAACAGTCAATCAAAAAAACGAATAATCAAATTAATCGCGACAGGAAGAAAATCTATTCTTAGTCTATACCGAGTCAAGAGAGAAATGTGTTCTTAAACTATACAATTACGAGAGAGAGAGCTCACAATTTTTTCCTAAACATGCGACCTGTTCACTTGGCAGTGTCATCATCTTATTCAGCGAAGGTACTCCATTGGTAATTTAGGAGTAAGTTGTTAGGAGATGACTATGGCGTTGGTCAGCTGGCATATATGTGTGGAGTCCCTTTCACTCTCCGATCTATGGACGTACGATGTGAGATAGCTGGGGGCACCTGCTAAAGGGTGCCACTTACTCGGCCTATTCCGTGAGAATAGTTCTCGGAGTTTCGAATCGTGAGATCCGATCTTAAAACCTTTTCATAGGAGGGCTGTAATATTTATTGTTTAATGAGGATTAAAGACTGTGAAATCTCTATCCAAATTGTCAGGATTCCTAGACACCAGTTAATCAATTCTTTTACACACGGATTAACACGCGTTATCCCTAATCTCGGAGATCGAATAAACATAGGAACTTAAATATAAATGAATGTTCAACAGAAACCAAGTCATTATATAAACAAGTAAATATTTAATAAATCGAATAATAAAGAATATACAATGATGAATCTAACCTAAATCTAACTTAAACTATCTTATTTCTAACGTAACGCGTGAGAGAGTTTACATCGATCTATTCAGAGCTTGTATTACCTTCTGTATTTGTATGAAGATCTACTTCCTTCCTTAAATATTCCTCTTCTTGTATTCTCTAGAGGAGGTTATTCGATTATCTTTCCTTTCTCGTATGTTATACTTTAGTATATTCATGTCGTATGTCGTATGTTGGATTCATCTGTATGACTTCTTAAGTATTCTTCCCTGGTATAGCAGTTTCCTACTTTATGGACTGCTTCGGAGGTTTTGTATGGACATATGGCAGGACACTTCTCAATCCGTCTACTACTCGAATTGGACTGCTTCCTGAATGGCGCGAAAACGGCCCTTTTTATTCTCTCTTACATCCTGTGTGCAACCTTATCGGCTCATCACCAGTTCGCCTGGGAAAGGAAATCAACTTCCTTTCAAAATTCTGCTGTTTCATTCGTTTTTGTAGATAAAATCTTGGTGAAGTTCGAAATATTATTTTATCTAAAGTTTTTAGTTTCTTCTTTAACTGATTATTTTATTCATAAAATTCTTCATCCCTTTTGACCCTCACAACTCTTAAGGGCATTGGCCTTAGAGAACAATTGAGTGGAGTCTTGTCACTTTCGGTCTGCCAACGAACTCTTAAGGTGTTGGCCTTAGAGAGCTTGTATGGATTTTGTCTGAATACGCTGGGATCTGTTGACGAACTCCCCGAATACTGCTGAACTTCGCCTATATCTTCTCATTTACGACCAATTATCAGTCGAGGCTTTATCCATGTGAATGGATGGGAAGGGGAAAGAAATGAGGGGTAAACAATTTCCATCGAAGCGAGATTTTTAGCAGATAAGGGAAAAACAGAGGATGCTCATACTTCCGTCAAAGGAAGTGACTCTCCTAGCTGTTTTCCCACGCTAGAAAAAAAAACGCTATTTTCCCATCAAAATGAAAGATAATTTTATGATAAAATTTTAACATTATTTTTAAATTATTATTTTAGACCCGGGGCTATTAGGATTTCACATTATACAGAAAAGTATTTGTATGCTTTTACAATAAAACATTCAGTTTTGATTGATAAATAATCAACAATACACTGAAGGCAATTGTTTATAATGTGTGTCCAACCCCACAATCAATACAAATAATCTTTCCCTCCAGTTCATTTTCTATAAATTTTGCTACACATTATTTTTATCAATTTTTTTGCAACCATTAAAATTTATGTTGGTATTATCAGCACACAAAGCAACAATATTGTTTTGTAATGCAAATTTATGAATTACTTTCTTCAACATAGCACATTATGTGTTAGATGTTTCACCAGGTAAGGAAGTAAAATCTATAATTTTAACTTGAACACCACAGCTGGGCAAAAAACACTACAGAACAATTGGAATGTTTGATGCAGCTAAACATAAGATAATGCTTCTTGGCTTATTCCTATCCATTTTTATTTCATTCAGTGATGAAATGCAGTGATAAAATATTAGTAATTATTGATTCTAATTTTGTATATGCACTGAAGAAAATTTTGGTTCATAATCTTCTTAATCAAATTCAACAAGTATTCATTTGTTCATAAACTCTGATTGTGATGCACAGTAGTTAACAAGAGCTTCTCAGGATGCAATTTTATTACTTTCACCATCATGTTTCATAATAAAAGCTAATATTGTTAACTGAACTGAAAGTTTTCTCAGCATTCTTATGTTTCTGGCTATCTTATTTGAAGCACTTCTACCTTCATGAGCAATGGAAAAATGGATATTACAATGTTGACATGTTACTTTTAATCATTACCATAATTTATCCAGTTTGATGAATTTGAGTTCTTTTTGAATATCATCATATGTCTTTTACATATGCCGCAGTAAGCACATGATCAAAATAAACAATGCTATGGAACAGATACAGCATCTAAGATGCCCAAGTCTTGCAACACATATTTCCCTTTCTTGTTAATCTTCATCAATACATCTCCACAGGAATGATTAGTACCATTGACAAAAACTTGTTTACAGGTTATGATTGACCAACATTTAAGCATATTTTAAAGTATTTATGAAAACAGAACAAAATTGGGATTTTTACTAAAACAATGAGATGGACAGGACATAGCAACAAAACAGTATTGTTCTGTTCAAAATGGAACATACAGTCAGCCTACTTTAGGAATCCCCAAAGAAGTCAATAAAACATGGGTTTTGGGGTGTTAGGTGTTAACCTCTTGGGCTATCCAGCCATTCAATTTATTATATTATTATTATTATTATTATTATGTTGGGTTTAGTGGGTAATAATCAGTTTAAACCGGTGGCTGTGTACTATGCCGGACCAGAGTCAAGGCATAGCAACCAAAACAAATTAAATAAGTGTGTCTTATTATTATTATTATTATTATTATTGTAGTGTAAGGAGACATTACCTTAAGAAAGGTTTTATTCGTGTCTAAAATGCACGACTGTTACAAATTCAAATGCAACGAGAAACAGTGCTGCCAGTCCAAGAGACTAACAAATGTGGGAAGAAGTGTTGTCACACTGTGATACTACTACAATTATTGTTATTATCTTTATTAGCATAAAAAGTGGACACCCTGTTACTTATTACAAATATTAAATTATACATTTTGTAAACAGTATACCAATAATTTTACATCTTTAGTTATTTTCTTACAAATTCTTAAATTCAGTTGGTTATTTAGTAGTTACATCTTTCTTTACAATTTTAATTACAAAATTATATAAATTGTATAATTCCTTCTTTGAAAGTTTATTTAAATTTTTTCTGAAGTCTTGGGTTAAGCTTTGCTTGATTATATGATACATATAATCAAGCAAAATTCTCTGTCACAAATACCAAATGATTCTCGTATTTGTGTAAATTTCTCACAGTCTTTCAATATATGCAATATTGAAAAATTACTGTAGTCATATCAATAATAATTTTTATTTAAAAAGTTAATATATTTGACCTGGAATATATCAGCTCATAGATTGAATTACAAAATTCTGGCTTTATCATGACATTTGCCTTGTCTATTTTTACATATTTGCAAAAAAAATCATGTTTAATGCAATAAAAAATCATATTTGCAAAAAAATCATTGCTTTGAACTTCAATCACAGACAAAAAATTTTCTGACTTATGAAGAGCATCCCTTATGCTCCACTCAATAATGTTAAAATTTTATTTTGAATCTGTATTTTTATGGCTAAAATGTAGAATATTCATATATATTTAAATATATGAATAAAACTTTAATGAATGAACATTGAAACATTATATTAATTCTGTTAATTATTAATAAATGGAAAATAATATGCAGTTTTTTAGAACAGTACATATGTGCTGCTTCTAAGATTTTTACATTTGCTTCTATTGAAAGTTATTTGAAATTCTAAGCATTGAACATATCTTCTGAAAAATTTAAACCCAGCTATTTTAGTAAATTTAAAATTTATTTAAATTAATATTTAGTTTACAATAATCATATTTGTGATATCAAAATAATAAGTTCTATTTATCCATTTTGATTTCTAATCCTATTATAAATTGTTTTAAATTTAATAATTCAAAAACTTTATTAGTGCTATATTATTTTCTTTGTTGGTTTAAATCTTATTTCATTGTTTTTACATTTTCTGAACATAACATTAATAAGCATTTTCTGAAGTTTACCTTTGGAAAATGTTTATTACTTAAAATTTATATTTACAATTTGATAGATTAATAATATTAATATAAATTTATAAGTAATATTTTTAATTAACAATGAAATTTTTAACTATATATATCAATTTTGAACAAACAAGATTTTAATGTTTTAGGGTTTTGGTGGAGCTTTGCTAAATTCTCTGTCACTTGGACAAGGTCAAGGCCCAATTGCAAGAGCTTTAATTGATGATGGAATGTGTAATGGTACATGGGTATTACTCCAAAATTGCCATTTGGCTCGATCATGGATGCCAGAATTAGAAAAGGTAATTTAATGTATTATTAAAATTAAAAAATGATTTGTGTAAGTTCATTCTTTTAAATAGAATTTAAATAAGTTTATTATAAATGAATTGTTGTTTCAATATTTTTAATGATAAAGTTGGGAAGTTGAGTACTCTCTTTCCCTTTTTGTTACTTNGAAAAGGTAATTTAATGTATTATTAAAATTAAAAAATGATTTGTGTAAGTTCATTCTTTTAAATAGAATTTAAATAAGTTTATTATAAATGAATTGTTGTTTCAATATTTTTAATGATAAAGTTGGGAAGTTGAGTACTCTCTTTCCCTTTTTGTTACTTGAACAGATGACTGTTTTAAAATATTACAGAATGGTTCTTTATTGAGTTTACAATCATTTGGATGGGATATTAGTTCCTCTGAAAATCTAGAGCTGATAGATTAGTTTCAACAAAATTTTTGTCTGAAAAATGATTCATTTGTAACTCATTTTTTAATTTTAACAGATTTTTGTTAACCATTTATTTTGAACAATTGTCAAATTTTACTTGTTTTTGAGAAAATGCACAAAAGAGGGAAAGGCAACTTCTTTTCTGTTTGAAAGAAATAATATCACTTTCCTTAAAAGTGATAGCATGGCATGGAATGCAAAATCTTCATACATCCCACTGCAAAAGCTGCTGACTTCGCATGTCAGAAGCATTGAAAACATTTTTAATTAATTTGACTGGAGGAGATTTTCATTTAAAAGGGGCACTTTTTCCATCTTTTTCCTTCATATTCTTGATCTCTCAGGAGTCAAGAAAAGATTTTATTCTAATACTCTTGTTCATTCACAAAGAAAATTTTGATTCACTGCACTTCAACCATGTAGTCATTCGTAATTATTCATATATCAGCTCCTTGTAGAAATTCTCATTTGACATAGAAGACTGTTAAAAATAGAAAATTAGAAGTTATTAAACTATTCTTTTTAATCTTTAGATAAAGGCTACATAACACAAACAGAGAGAAAATGAAACTGAAACAACTTAAAACATCAGAGCACCCCCTGAGCTCTAACACAAGTATATATTAAAATACAACAAACAACATAATGTTGGCAGATTATACAATCAAATTATTCAACAAAGACTACTTATAAAACAAAGGTAATATATATTTATGTAAACTCTCTCTCTAAAGGTAGAGTATAGATTAGTGGGTTGTCATTCGAATTCCTTTTTGAAGGACTTATTGTAATTGGAAGTTTTGTTCCTTTGATACGCTTTGTATCATTTGGATTTTGCTCACGTCTTAGTCTGTGGAATTGACTAAGTGATGTCAGGGTTCCTGACTTCAAAAGATCTTACCAATCATTCAGATTAATAACGATCATCATAAATGTATGATGGGGTCTACCATAGCATCAAACATCTTGCATTCTCCTTTTTTGCTGTTGAGCAGTTTTTTGATAGTTTTTTCTATTTTGTAGTTAAATTAGGTATTTTGTGTATTTTTTTATTTCTATTTATAAATCAGAAATTAAATATTTAATTAATAATTTTTTGATATTTTCATATTTAAATATTTTTTCTGATAATAATAAGGACAATTGTTTACAAAGGTGAGGAAGGGATATGATGATGACATAATGGCTTGCTGGCTTAAAAATGCCAAAGATATCAAAGTCAAAACTGAACGAGGTAATAAATAATTTTAAAGACAAAGGGATTATGATCAACAAAAGTATTTTGAGATGTGAACTGTGTGATGTTACTAATGTGGGTGATATAAATGTGGATGAAAAGCATCTCTCTTCATGAGTTAGGCAGCACATTAAACATATTTCCAGCAGGAAAAGAAAGAACATAAAGGACAAATTTTATTTTGGCATTATTAAATTTTGCAAAGGACAATGTAAGGAAGAAGAATGAATTTGCATGTAAACTGGTTACAGCTTTAATATGGGCAGGAATTGTTCTTAACAATGTAAACCATCCAGCATTCAAAACACTTTCTAGAAAAGTATACCAAGAATCCAATCCCTGACCAAAGAACACTAAAGAAAAGCTATGTGCAGTCTGCATATGAGACAACTTTCAAAATAATATAGGAAATAGTATGAAACAGCCCAGTCTTTTTCATTTTGGATGAAATGTTGGATGTGCTACATACTGAACATTCTTGTTGATTCATTAACAGTACATCCCATGCTGTTAAGAGTTTATGAATTACAAAAGACAAATTCCACAATTGTTATGCATGTGCCAAATTATGGAACTTTGTCATTCTGTGTGAAAAGGTTTGATTACTTATAACAGACAAGACACCATATATGCTAAGTGCATGTTCAAATATAAAGTTGATATTTGACTTGTCTTATCCATTATCTTAACAGAGTAATAAAGCAATTAGGCCAGAATTTTCATGAACCAATGATTTTATTTTAGAAATGAAAAAGACTGATTAAATGACCTAAGAATGTATTATACAATGTACTATAGAGGGCCGGATGGTCGAGTGGTCAAGGTGGCAGCTCACTGCTCTGGGGGACACGGGATCAAATCCAGATGGGTTGAAAACTCCCCAGGAATTTTTTGGGGAGTGACCCGACTAGATATGTCGGTCCCATCCCTCACCATTTTTGGTTTGCAAAAAGAGGCCCTCTTAGTGCCCACAGGGCGGAAAGAGTTAAAAAAAAAAAGTGCATCTATATAAAGAGATAACTGGTTTGCCACCAACCTGTAATAACTAGGTGGAGCATGTGGATTTGAGTGACTTGTTTTTATGCCAAAAATTTCTTATTCATGAGAGCATTCATTTATAAGCTGGATGAAAAGCCTTCAGTGGCTGCAATAAAACTCAAGACTGTTTAAAGAAGAAACTGTGTTAAAGGAACTCTACACTGTACATTCATACAAGTTCCTGTGAATTCAATTTTTAAACTTGAGGAAAGCAGTCTGTACACTAAGAAGCAGTGGGAGATTTCTAAACATGCCAAAAACCAGTTGGATGAATTTTCTTTAGAGAAAATGAAATACTTCCAGAGCAAAAATCCAAATATTCAAAATATAATTCTTGAATTTCTTCAGTTACTAAAAACTCAAATTTATAGTGAAATCCAAATATGCTTTTCTCACATTTATTGGTGTTAAGAGATCGTTTTTACAGTTGAAAATTTTACTTTCCTTGCACAGTCTGCAGCCATTGTGACCATGGACAATATAGGATGACTGAAAGTTTGCAAGTACAATGCAAGTATGAAACTGATGAATTAGATTCCGAAAGTGTCTGATTTGAATTTTCTATAATTTTCTTGAATGTTGCATTTTCTATATATACTTTGATGCACAATTAAATGATGGTTTAACTTTTATACATTTTATAATCATTTTTTTGCAAAAGTCTGTCACTTTTTAGCTCTTTTTTTTAAAGAAAATTTGTACCTCAACTTCCCAATTTTAGTTATGAATTACAATAGTCATACCCCGGACTTACGCGATAGGTGGGACCGAGCAATAACCGCGTAAGTCGGGGTATAATTTTGCATATAAATACATACAAATTATTTTTAATTGGGACCAGAGACTAAAGAAAACAATAATTTAGAAAAAAATGTTTAATAAAATCTTAGATAATACATACGTATAACAAATTATATTATTATACAATTTTTCACATTAACTTGATTATCACACCATAATTTTAACATTGTTTCCATCTCAGCGATAATACCGTGACGTTTACGAATGATGCTTGAATTTAAAGATTGAGCATTTTTTACAGCTTCGAGAATTTTTTCTTTATCTTTTATAATTGTTCTGACCGTCGATTCCGGTAGATCAAACTTCTTTGCCAATTCACAAATTTTCATTTTTGTATCGAAGTCTTTAATAATGTTAACTTTACATTCCAAAGATAAAGTTTTTCTTTTCTTGTTTGATGCAGAAGAATCAGTTCTACTTCGTTTGGATGACATAGTAGAGTGTTAAGATTAATCATATTCGTTATTGTAAACCGCGCTTAAGTTAGGCGCCATCTGTTCATTTCTTTTGTATGTCCGACGATCAAAAGACCGCTTGGGATCGAGTCTGTTTATAATTTGAAAGGTAATCTTGTCAGTTGTATATACAAAAGGTAAATTGTTTACAAAATGAGTCTTTGTTTATTATCTGATAAATGTATACTTTTTTCGTCAATTGTTCATGATTGCAGATGCCTTTGTGTAAAATCCAAGTAGGATGTATGTAAGCTAATAAATGTTCTCGTTAATCTTATCTCGCCATTTGGTTCGTTCACGGCTACAAGAAATCACCACATAGAGTCTCTCAAGTCTCCGTAGATATAACAAACAGAAATAAATTTCACAAAATAAATTGTAGCTATGCGTCGATTCCGCGCGACACGTTCGAACATGTAAGCTGGACAATAGTGTGGGGGGAGTGAATAATCAAAAGTTGAGTGGCACTCAAACAAAAGATGAATCGACGAGATTTGAAAATCGCGTAACTCCGGGTTCGCGTAAGTTGGGGTATGACTGTACAATTCAATACAATAGTGTAATTCACTATTGTATTGAATTTTTCTTCTTATTTTATTAAGTTATTTTATTTATTTTTTATATTTAAGTATTTTTGCATTTAAATGATTTATTGAAATTTGTGTATTGTTATATTATTTTCTATATTAAACAAAAAAATTTCTGATACAAAAACTCAACTGTGAATTTACTAAATTATTACTGAAAACTGAATAAAATATATTTTTAAGATTAAAGTATGTAGTGAAATACAGAAAATCATTTGTAGAATTTATTTTGTATGAAAAATGTAGATTGAATTTTTGAGTTTTTATGCACTAAACTTTTTACAGTAGATAATAGAAAGTAAAATTTCAATAAAATTGTTATGCTGCTAAATTTTACAATGTTTAGGAGAATTTGTTTGTTATCAGACAATTTTTCTACATTATCATAATCCAAGTTATATTGTTTCAATATGAAGTTTCATATGTTAATTTTTACGCAAATAAGTAATCTTATAGCTCTTCTTCATCAAAAGTTTTAAAAAATATTCCAAGAATTAAGTTTTCTATTTTTATTTTTTTTAAACTAAATATTTAAAAAAACTGTACTAAACTAAAATTATAGATTAAAAATTTATACTGTAACTAAGTTTTTCAATGCTTTTTACTTGTTTAATAAATTTTCAGAATAGTTAATTTTTCTAAATTTATCTTTCTTCAAATTTTTTGTTGTTGTTTGTACTCAGTCATATATTTTTTTGTTTCTTTGACTAAATATTCCAATATAAAAAACATAGAATTATATGTCACAAAAGTTATTTCTTCATTCCATTCATTGATTAAAGAAAATATCAAAATTTTTTTCAAATTAAAAGTTTAAAAATATTTTAGAAAAATTTTATAGCCTATTTTACATTATGGAAGTATTTGCATATAGTATTTACAAGTAAAAAACTCATTTTTGAAAAATTGGATTAAAAATAGAATAATATTAGAATTACTGTGATATTGTTAAATCCAGATCTTATGATTATTATGTGTTGGGTTTAGTGGATTATACTCGGTACACACCGGTGGCTGTGTACTATGCCGGATCAGAGTCAAGGCATAGCAACCAAAACAAAACTAAAATTAAATGTGTGTGTCAATGTCAGTATTAAGGAATTTCCTAACAATATGGCATGTATTCAATATAGTGGCCTTCTGTAGTGTGATGTATGTATTTCTACTCAATTGTAATGTTCCCAGGCTTTTGTGTAGCGTGTGTGGTATCACACCTGTACAGGAGAGAACGACAGGTACAATAAGCACCCTATCCATCCTCCACAGATGCCTGATTTCCTGGGCGTAACTGATTTTGAAGTTGGAAAGTTATTGTCAATAAAATTTGTTTTTCTTCTTACTAATATCAGTGTATTTAAAATGAAATTATCATTCTTATTTATTTTTATATGGTAATGCATTATTGTTAATTTTTACTTTATAATTAATTTTATTATAAAAATAACTCTAGATTTGTGAAGAATTTATTAAAGATGAAATACATACAAACTTTCGATTATGGTTAACCTCTTATCCATCTGAAGATTTTCCAATATCAGTTTTACAAAACAGTATAAAAATAACTAATGAGCCCCCTAAAGGTTTAAGATCAAGTATACTTAGATTATATTGTACTGATCCTGTGAATGATTCTGAATTTTTTAATTCATGTCATCAAAATGTAAGTATGTAATGTTAATTTCTTATATATTAAAAATAATATATATTTACTTTCTTTGGTGTATTTTAATTTTTAATAATTGTAGATATTGCAAATATGCTTTTTTTTAGATTGTAATTTAAAAAGCCTGATTTTTCTTTCTTATTTACACTTTAAATTTTGGATATTATTTAGTACTGGCCATTGCAATTGCATCACTCATAAAATCCTATAAAAGCATATTTACTTTTTAAAATTAAAGTACAGTATTATTTTGCTACAGACCTGAAAGAAACTATAAAGATTGCATCATCCTTGATATCATTAATCATTCATTGATATAGAAAGCTGTGTAAAGATGATGTATGTACTTTCATAAACAAAATGGAAAGTTTTCAACAATTAACATTGTGTTAAAAGTATATAAAGATTTATCCTCTCATGTAATAATGCAGAGTGCATTGTCATTTATCAACAACTATTCATTTGTTATAATGAAACATGAACATGGAAAGATTGAAAACATGTGAGTACACCATGCCAGGATATAATGCTAAAAACCTACTATTCATATAAAAAAGCCATTACCAATTAGTAAACTGTGCAGAAGTAATTAATCTGGGTTAAATAGCATATGAACTGAAATGTTGATTTGGAATTCTCTTATATTTTCAAATGAATCTAAATTTATTCTTTTGTTGTCTTGCATAACAATGTGTGCAATCAGATGGCTGTGTGCATTGTTATGCAAGATAATTGGATGATACATAGGTTGTCACAAATGAGGACATTGCTAAGCAGATGACATTGGAAAATACTAGAACATTTACCATGCTCACCTAACATAGGTCCATGTGACTTGGATCTTTATCTGAAAATGAAAGAACTTCTTAGAGACAAACACTTCCAAGACATTGACAGCATCCTTTCTTCTTTAAAGCAATCTTTTCAGATATTGGTTAAAAATGATGCTACTGACAATGTTTGCTTCTTCCCAGAAGTTTGGCAGCAGGTTTGTCCACAAAGATAGAAACTACATCAAATGACTGTGAAATTATGAATTTGTTTTATTTTAGAACTAATAAGTTACAGCAATAATTCCACTGAAAATAAAATAGCTTCATAGAAATAAAATTCTATTTTAAATTTATTATCTACATTGTTATAACGTTATGTATGTATACATGTATTTGTGCATGTTTGTGTGTTATAATTTGTAATAATAATCATTTTTAATTTTCTTATTTTAAATTACAGACTACATTCAAGAAGTTATTATACAGTTTATGCTTTTTTCATGCTCTTATTCAAGAACGTAAAAAATTTGGTTCCAGAGGATGGAATATTCTATATGAATTCAATGAAACAGATTTTCAAATAAGTGTCAAACAATTAGCAATTTTTCTTAATGAATATGATGTATGTTTTTATATTAAACTTTTATTTTTTTATATATCTTTATTAAGCTTATGATAAAGAAGGTTAATTATCTAATGAATACATTAAAGAAAAATTAAACTGTTTTCAAATTAGAAACTCAATTTATATTAGATAGAAATAAATGCATAATAGTTCTTAAATTATTATTAGGTTTAATAACTAAAAATATAAGAAATATTTGTCATACACTAATACAATATAGCTGAATCAAATAACAATTGTACTAACAATTTTGATCTAGTTTTTAAACACAGTTTCAAATTTATTAATTTTTGAAAATAGAATAATTTATTAGTAAATTGCAAAATTGTATAATAAAGCAAATTATGCATAAAACAGCAATTAGAACTTACAAAAGAAAATAGTTGATAAATGACTTCTCATTTTTACCATCTGTAATACACACAACATTGGAGCAAAGAATTAATGGAAAAATATTTTCACTAAGCATCAGTATAGTTTATTTTCTAACAGCAAAAGGCATTTTGGAAAAAAAATAAAATGAAATTGAGATTTCTGTAACCAAGATTGAATATTTACTTATTTATTATTGTTTTGAGTATTATTTGACATATGAAATTGAGAAATTATTTGAAATTGTAACAAAACTGTATTGGTGAATTATCATTGATTAGCAATATGTAAATTTTTCGACTATAAATTCGACTTTCATCTATTATCAGGACTTATTATACTGGTTTTACAGATAATATTACAAAGATTAACAGAAAACAATTTTTATTTTATTTCGTATACCTGGGTACCATATTTCCGATTTTAATCTTTCTATTTCTTTCTCCATGTTTCCTGTTCTTTGCATTCTCTGATTCACCAGAATTTTGGCTAAATATATTATTAAAAAAATTGTTAAATTAATATGCCTCAATGTCCTTGGTTTATTATAATATAAATNAAGAAATAATAATTAATATTGCCAAAAATACACAATAATTATTTTATTGCATATTATAAATATTTATTTTAAGAGGAATGTTTTAAATATATTATATATAATCTATCTATATATATAATCGAGACGAGTTGATAATAATAATAATCAGCGCAGAGCCCAAATAGTTAGGAGTTGAAAGTTGAAATTTGGTACACAGTTAGGGTACGTCACGAGAACGCACACTAAGAAGGGATTTTTCGAAATTCCCCCGGGGGGATTTTCAAGACGGGTTGATAATAATAATAATAAGCACAGAGCCCAAACGGTTAGGAGTTGAAAGTTGAAATTTGGTACACAGTCAGGGTACGTCACGAGAACGCACACTAAGAAGGGATTTTTTAAAATTCCCTCTCAAGGGGAAAGGGACAGGATTAAGGCTTCAACAATGAAAGTGTCAACAATGGAAGTGAGAATAATGGAAGTGTTAAAAATAAAAGTGTTAACAATGGAAGTGTTAATAGAAAGCGAGGTGCAAGATTTACAGGCACAGATGCAGTTTTTTTGTGTTTTTGCGGGAAATCGAACATATTTTTAGACCCATCTAAAAATTCTCTAATTAGTCTGGAAACAGGGAGACCAAATTCTTGCATTCTGAGAAAACAGATAAAATTGGATGTAATGTAATAACCTTAATCTTTGCTATTGTTACTTTTTTCCCGAGCAACACCGGGTTTATTTGCTAGTTATATATATATTTATAACTTAATACAGTCGACCCCCTATAACACTGTTGATTTTTCCGTTTTATATGAATTCCATGTTGTACGAGTGACTTAGATTTTACAAATACATGTGCCGGGCTGTGAACGGCTTACGTATTTGTAAAATCTAAGTCACTCGTACAACATGGAATTCATATAAAACGGAAAAATCAACAGTGTTATAGGGGGTCGACTGTATTAAGTTATAAATATATATATAACTAGCAAATAAACCCGGTGTTGCTCGGGAAAAAAGTAACAATAGCAAAGATTAAGGTTATTACATTACATCCAATTTTATCTGTTTTCTCAGAATGCAAGAATTTGGTCTCCCTGTTTCCAGACTAATTAGAGAATTTTTAGATGGGTCTAAAAATATGTTCGATTTCCCGCAAAAACACAAAAAAACTGCATCTGTGCCTGTAAATCTTGCACCTCGCTTTCTATTAACACTTCCATTGTTAACACTTTTATTTTTAACACTTCCATTATTCTCACTTCCATTGTTGACACTTTCATTGTTGAAGCCTTAATCCTGTCCCTTTCCCCTTGAGAGGGAATTTTAAAAAATCCCTTCTTAGTGTGCGTTCTCGTGACGTACCCTGACTGTGTACCAAATTTCAACTTTCAACTCCTAACCGTTTGGGCTCTGTGCTTATTATTATTATTATCAACCCGTCTTGAAAATCCCCCCGGGGGAATTTCGAAAAATCCCTTCTTAGTGTGCGTTCTCGTGACGTACCCTAACTGTGTACCAAATTTCAACTTTCAACTCCTAACTATTTGGGCTCTGCGCTGATTATTATTATTATCAACTCGTCTCGATTATATATATAGATAGATTATATATAATATATTTAAAACATTCCTCTTAAAATAAATATTTATAATATGCAATAAAATAATTATTGTGTATTTTTGGCAATATTAATTATTATTTCTTTTTATTAGTATATTCCATTTGAGTCATTGTTGTACCTTATTGGAGAATGTAATTATGGTGGCAGAGTTACTGATGACTGGGATCGTCGAACATTAAAAACGTTATTAAATGAGTTTTTTAGACCTGAAATTGTCACACAAGATATTTATTATTTTGATCCATCAAAAGTTTATTGCTTACCACCAGAAGGCATTGTAAGCATAACTTTAATTTATTAAGCAATTATAAAATTTTTAAATAAATTAAACTTGGTGTTTTGTTTCAAATTCTATAAATAGAATTACATTTAATTTAAAATAAAATAATGAGTCCATAATTAAAGCAAAATATATTTATCATGATAGCTATAAAATTGATAATTATCTAAAAGTGATCAAGAAAGAAGAAAAAAAATGAAAAATATGCAAATTAAATTTATATAAAAGTTACTAACTGTTTAAAAATAAAAGTAGTGTTTATTCAATTGCTAAAGGTATAGATAATTGGTAATTTTAGTCTTTATAAATGATTAAGTTGTGAATTAAACCAAAAACACACATGTTGATAAATTTCCAAGTTTTAAATGACCACAGAACAATAAATTTAAAGGATAATATACAGTATTTAAATATTTTTAAAATATATAGTATTCATATTTTTTTAATATAATTATTATTGGAAATATTTGCCTATCAACAGAATTACCTTTAAAATTTTTAATAGAGACTGGTATCATGTATTGTTATATTGGTATGCTATAAACCAATTTTACATACATTTTTATAAAACAGCATAAATAATTCAGAAAAAAAAAAAAAGTTTATTGTCTATTAACTTCCCTATTACATGGGGGTTGTAGTTTCATGTATCCATATTTATCTTTAATAAAACAATATTTTCCATTAATTGTTTAATTTGCACTTATTACTCGCGTACATATTCACATATTCTTTAATTTACATTGTTTTGTTATTATAAATTTCTATTATTTTACAAAAATAATTATAAATATTATATAATTCTTTTTTACTCATATTGTTAAAATTTTTTAACAATTCTATTAGCGAGTTGCATTTATAAGTGCTATTTATATCATAATATTCACGAATTTCCTTTAACTTTGGACATGTTAATATCAAATGGTAAGGTGTTAAAACGTCAGCATTACATAAAAAACATTTAGTTAGTAAACTTATATAAGTATTTATAAGTAAGTATACAGCGAATATTTATTTAGACGAAGTTGCATTATAAATCGTTTTATATTCAAATTTACCGATTGTCATATATATGATTGCATTGAAGGTATTTCAAATATATCCAAGTACCACGAGTGATATGAGTGATATTTACTGCTATAAAGGGAGTTCTGATCTTTAGTTATAGATTGAGCTATAGCTGATTCTAACATCAATGAGTAACCTGTTTTCCAATCTTGAATTTTATCTTTAAATAATAGAACTGATACTCCAAAGGAGTTGAAGATAGTTTGCAGCTTATTATACCATAGTTGTTTATGTTTTTGTAGTTTACTTTGTCTAATATTTTCATGATATAAAATAGTTAAATTATTATCACCTTTGAAATTAAGTTTATAAAAGAATTTGATAATTCGCTTTAATATAAACGGGAATAACCATATTCGATTAGCTTCGTGCCGTAGTGCATATCCCGGTACTGTTCTTTCTATGTGAAATAGTCTGCATAGATAATAAATGTGAAATTGTTCAAGTTGGTAGAAATAGTCCAAGCACCAAATAGGACTGGCATAAAATAACATTGTATTAATAATCGAGCTATAAAGTTTCATATGTATTCTTAATTCTGAAAAAACAACATAAATAATATACTTTTGTATTTTATTTTATACTGTTTATTTTAAACACTAATTAATTTTCAACTTAATTTAAGATTTGTTACAAGCAAAACTTTATCTCTCAGAATAAATATCTCTAGTTTAGATCATATAAATATATGAAAATTCTACACAGATATATTGAAGACATATTAAATCTTAACATTTAATTGTAAAACATTAATAAATAACTTATTTTTTTACAATATATTGTTGTGTATTCATTATAATTATAAAAATATTTAAAAGTTTATTTTAATAGAAAATATATAAATGTTATGGTTATAGAAAATTATTTCATTGAATTTTAGAGAAAGATATTGATTGTGTTGTTTTGTTAATTGAATTTTAAATTTATGTTTAATTATTAAATTTATTTTTCTTATACATGCTAAGAAAATATACATATATAATGTTCTATTAGGAACATTGAATAACTTAATACGATTATTTGTTTTATTCGTAAAGAATATTAATTAAAAATTCAATTGTTACTTGTAGTCTGTTTAGGTCTCTTCACAAAATTATATTTGTAAGTTTTATAAAAACCAAAACAATTAAATGATTTGTCTATCAAAAAGTATATTTTGAATAATACTGATTTTATTTAAAATTTTTAAAATTAATTCGTAATACAATTTTACAGTATAATTTTTTTTTATATTATATTATATTATAGTACTGTATTAATTAATTATAGTTCCTGCATTGGCAGCTTTTCTGTAAATATGTAGGACACAACAGCAAAGCTGACAATCATATGCTACAATAAACACCAAACAAAAATCAAATCAATGAATTATTTATAATCTGAAATTTTTAAACAAGATTTTATTCTATACACACATTTAAATACAAGAAAAGTATTTCAAAAACACGCACAACTATATCTAAAGTAGACTCTCGATAAATCGAAATTCCTTAACGCAAATTTTATTTTTGTTCCTCCTTAACTCCCATATATTCAATGCATTTTATATTTTTATAGGTCAAAGCAGTTGTGACTAACTCGAAATTTAAGATTTGAAGGACTTTGTTTCATGTTTAATTTAATTTTTTTTTTTTTTTACGTTTTTGGGGATAGACGATATTATCACGAAGTTGAAGATTTGTATTGTATAGAATTGTAGTTCTGATCGCATGACATAAAATTCAAATTTTAACGGCGTTTTACATCTGGTGCTGATACTAAATCCACGAGCAATTTAAGCACATTATTTGAATGATGCTTTTATATCTCGTGAATTATAAAGCCAATTAGAAACGAATAAAAGTTATCAAATAGCTTGATGTCATTTTCTTTCTTTTCGACTTTAGGATTTAACAAGATTATAATTTTCTCGAAGTTCTTACGTGACAGTCGTTAAAAACTATAAAAATTTTTAATATGCTGCAGTATTTAAATTCACAAATTTACTTATTAATTATGTAATTCGGCATCGTTGCGTAGTTCTGCCATCAATGTTGATGAAATACCAAAATCTACCAAACTTTTAAAAATTATCCCAAAATCGTTCTTTTATTTATTTATTTTTTCATAAATAACGGATATATCACTAAGATTATCGCGTCGTCATCGTCATCCATCTTTACTTTATCCTCTTTTTTTTGTCACATAGTGTAGCGAAATGGATATTTGCAGTGCGAATCCTGCGATAGTCACGTACTGTAATTATATGCTGGTATGACTTGATGAAATCGATACCCATCGTGAAGTAACGTAAATTTAAAAATGTAAGGAACACATATGTAATTTGACAACTTGCTGAATTATCGGTCAATTAGATTTACGAGTTTGTCAATATCTTATTTGGAACTAAACGTTCATAATTTGTAAATTTCGTGGTGACGTTTTCATTGCTGGTAGTGACCAATTAATCACTGACTGTACCGACCATTTTCATTTCTAGCAAGTAAATACTGTAGATAGAAGCGGCGAACAAGAGAATATAAAAATTTTGTTGAGGATTTTCATAAATACCGCGGAAGAAGGAAAGAAAAAAAAAAAAAACTCAGAAATTGCAAATGAATTTGGCATTCCATTGAGTACCGTACGTATCTGAAAACAAAGAGAGGATTTCGGAAAGCTTCAATAAATAACAGAATCGGATAGAACAGAATAGCGGACGTAAATGTGAATATTCAGATGCTGAAATGGTTTGTACGGTGTAGAAACAAGCAATCCCTGTCGATGAACTTAGAGGGAAAAAAACCAAATAATTCAGATTCAATTTGGGACATACCTGAGTCAAAGCCAGCATCGGAAAGTTGAATAAATTTAAGAGAGAAAATAGTTTTCAATAAAATTTTTGGGTTAAAGTGCTGAAATGTGAGAGGTGAATTGTGCGAAATTCTACAGAACTATAGTTCGAATGATATTTTCAACTCAAGCAAAACCGGCTTATTTTTTAAAAGGGCCGGAAAACTGGTTCAAAAGTGATTCGTATTAGAAGGATAAAAATGCAAAGAACGCGTAAAGCATTGATTCCACTTGTAATTTTCTAGTGATGGTGGCGAACTTTCAGTGGCAAAGATGTAGAATTTTATTTTATTGAAAGAAGTAACGTTTGCGGCTATACAAAAGAGCCTATTGGAAACGCTAATACATCGTCTAATTAGATATACTTGCCACACTTGGGTATATAGTATTGTTCTGATGCCAGATATACTATCACTTCATTGACTATCGAAAGCAGTAAGTCTTAGTGGCAGCGGCAAATATTCGATACGTCTTAGTTTTTCTTAGCGGTGCGTCCTACTATGGAGATAATCTCACAAGCAGACGGCCAGATGACCTAGCGATGGAGGTGGCAGTCTACCTCCCTGAGGGACACGGGATTTCAAAACATTAAATTACAATACGTAAAGCTTATTATACAAAAGGTGTTGCACGTTATTGAAGATGGATCACATGAGTTTGAATCAACTTGCTAGTTGCAATGCGAATGATTAACAAAGCTTGGAATAAAGCAAAACTACTAGTTGCTTTACAAAAGCAGGTTTTCGTCAACAAGTGTCGATGCTTCGAATACATCGGAATTTATATTAGAATTCATTGGCTTTATCGAAGAAGACTAGGCCGTTCTCATAGCAACGAATGATGAAAATTGTGTCATTTTGTCAATGCTCATAATAATATAGCTGTCTGCGGATATTTATCTGAAGATGACATTATTGAAGTAAAGAAACAAGCGAGGAAGACGAGGAAGAAATTAATTAATATCGAGAACATTGTTGAGTAAGAAATCAAACTCGATATCGTCGAAGACACACACTGTAACAGACCTTTTCACTTATTGTTCAATGTTTGTTGTATTGTAGAGTACATATACGTATTTAAAAAATAATAATATACTGTATAATGTATTTGTCTATATTGTTTGTATTGTGATATATTATATGCCAAATCTGAATTTGGATTTGGGTATTAGAAGTATTATCTGCAAACTGCATTCTCTGTCTAACTGAGATGTGCTAACACAAAATGGCTGATTAAGCTTTGATATTATTATTGTAAACATTTTCGGTTCAGTTATTAGACGAAATTTAATTTCTTTTAAATATTTGTGTTTTCCTTGATATATATATGTATCAAAGAAAACATAAATATTTAAAAGGTTTGACAGTGATTTTCTTTCAAAATTTGAAGGCCTAATTCTAAAAAAGCAGGTCTATTTATAAAATGTTTTCTTTTTAATTTTAATTTTTTAATTAACATTACTCACATAATTTTGCGATTTTAATCGATTTTTTTCAAGAAAGCATTTTTAAAATTTATCCTGTTCTGTGGCTTTTTTAAAACCTGGCATGGATTCGGCCAGGTGTTGAAGGATGGGGACCGACACATCGTGGATAAATGCGGAAAATTCATAAATAATAAATTGTTTTTATTTTTATGTGTACTGTGATTTCATATTTATATGTTTCTATGATTAAATATACTTCTGAGTTTTTTAACTGATGAAGATTTACACAAAAATTTTCAAATAAATCGAAGCATTAGAAATGTCTTGCCTGCAAGTTTTTTTTTCTGATATTAGACACCCATCTTATGACTATTTACAAAAATTTTACCAATACAATAGATTCGCGATTATCTGGCCTAATCAGCTTTAAAGTTTTTTTTTTTATAAACAAAAATAAAAAAGTAATTATGTTTTTATAATTAATTTATGTTTTATTAGAGTACAATATCATTAAATGGTTTGGTTTAGTTTTATTCTTATATGGCAACGGCACTTGGGCGATCTGCCAAGGGAATGCCTCCCGGAAGTCTTTTATGGGAAACTAGCCCCCTATTTAGGTGTTATGAAGAAAACCCGAAAAACGTCACTCGGCCACTGCTGGGCATATTATTGTGTTGCAATTTGAAAAAATTATAGACATATAAATTCCCACTGTCGTCAGTATTTCCTTAATTAATCTCGAGAACGGAGTTAGATAAAATCCGAGACCGGATATGGAAACCTTACGGGCAGGAGGTCCCGATTATCTATGTATGAACTTCCGGAAGTCATGTTACTTCAATTCAAAACTGTTCATTTCCCCTGAAAGCTGTTAATAGATGACCCGGCACGATTCTTGTTAAAGAAAAAGTATGATGTAAAGGAGCAAGACACTACTAATAATTTGAGGTGGAGAGCATATATTAAAGATATGATAAAAAATTGCAGCCTGGCATTGTGACCATGTCATAATAAATAATTGCTCGTTTTGAAAATAATTTTCTTTTTAGAATAATCCAAAATGTAATGAGCAATTATTAAATAATAATAATAATGTATGCAAGTAATGCTATTGCAAACGTTTTCGTAAAATGTACGATTATTCCGCGGATAATGCGGAATAATCATATATGCGGGTAAATTTTAAACTCTCCGCCCTGTGGGCCTATAAGAGAGCCTTTTTTAGCAAGCCCATGGGGAAAGTTGGGCAATGTCACTCAGAGAGCAATTCCGCTCACTTAGGTATCTCGAAACACAATGGAATTGTGAATGTGTGATTGTTGTGGTTAGATAGCAAATGACATCATAAATCTGTAATCACGTGTTGGTCGCCGTTAGAAGCAGAGTTTCATTCTTTCATTCTTGTGTTTTTTTTTTTTTTTTTTGAGGTGATCTCTTAGAAAATTTTGCAAATTTCAGCAGAGGATAAATACATCTTTATTTTAATAAATTATTAGTTTTAACCATTATATGTATAAACTACATATATTTAGCTTCTCACTCCTGCTTTTCGCTTGATTTATAATATGCTGTTAAGCCAACAAAAAAGCATCAGAATCCACTATGGCATTAAAGGATAAATACGCTCATGCAAACTAAATCCAACAACTTTTACATATTTCCCGTTTCTTATATTTCAAACAATACTGAATGGCGAAAATGCGTAGACATAATAAATTTTAAAACTCACGAAATGTAACAGCTGTTTCATAAAATCGCAAACTATAGGCTATAGGCGTTAGAAAGTGAAAATCTAAGACCCAGAAAAAATGCAAAAATTGGTCTCATACAAACTGCAGAGTGTAGAAACGTGACAATTGTTGTCTGAAAATCTTCAAAGTGAAATTATGCATGCCATGTTAACCAATGATAACCATCGAGCGAGAATACCCCGACATGGTCGACCTGAGCCACCTTAACCGCTCGGCCATCTGGCCTTCAAATGCAGTCATCATAATTACAGGCATCTTGCCGGCTTATTTTTGCTGAAAATTCTGTATTAAAACATCGCAGGTACCGCAAAAATTACAGCTGAAAAATAACACATATGGGACATATTGATGTGCCCTGACTTTAAAGAAATGCCTTATCTTCAATCTCAGTGTTATCCGTCTTTTTCCCTATCCGATTCGGCTGCCCCCACATTAGGCCGGATAATCGCGAGTCTACTGTATTACTAACCATTAAAATATATTTGTTATTATTTAAAAATGTTGATATATTAGGATTTCGTGAATTCATGAAAGTTTAATTTAAAATACATGCTCTCTATCTCCAATAAGTAATGGCTTGCATCATAAAAGTACATCATACTTTTCCTTTAACAATAGAGTCGTGCCGGTCATCTAACACTTTCCAGGCAGAAGTTAAAATTGAAATAATGTGACTTCGTGTTTGTGTCGGACGTTCGTATATAGTTAATCGGGGTCTCCTGCATTTAGTGTTTCCACTTCTGGTCTCAGATTTCATTTACTCAATTCCGTTCTCGAGATTAAGAAAAAACAGACGGACGGACGGAGACAGGCTACAGTTTTTTTTTTCAAATTGCAACCCAATAAACGAGGAAAATCGTTCTATTAAGGGAAAAAATCGGAAATTAACCGGATTTTTTCGAAATTTTGAGTGGATATCCTAATTCGCACATTGTGGTTTATTAATAGTGATTTTTATATTTGAATATCAAAATGATTAACGTAGGTATATACATTTTTTGTTAAAAGCGTGATATTCTCTCACTTGATTTTTAAATGTAACTTTTTATGCAAGATAATTTGGATATATCTAATTATATTTTCGTTTAAATTTCCTAAAATGAAATGATGTAACGATTAGAGAGTATTTTCAAAAATTAATTTTCATAACGTTGACAGAAATTGGAAATAAATAAAAAAAATTATTTTAAGGAAGATTGTAGCAATTTCTGGTAAATTTTATTCTAATAAACACTAATCCATCATTTTTTCATCTGACGTATTTTGGATTATTTATGATTTTTTGATATAAATTGTTTTTTCTTGATCATTGTTCAAAATTATTAATCTTCTAAGCATTAGATAAATGGCTTTGTGCATAAACACTAAAATAGGCTAACTTCTGTTATTGCAGATTATACATTAATTTTTAAAATATATCTTAAATATTTAACTTTAATTTTTTACGTTTTTACAATTGCAGTATCAAAATTACATCGCTTTTGTTAAAAACTTACCTTTTGCAACTGAACCAGAAGTACATGGAATGGATGCAAATGCAAACATTATTAAAGATCAGAATGAAACAAAATTATTCTTTAATACCATTATATCAACTCAAGTAACTATTATTTTTATTGTTTTTAATGATTAATACAATGTAATTAATGCAGTCAAAATACTAAATTGTACAATTTTTTTTTTATAAAATTGATTTTTAAATTAAATTTCAATTTTAACAAATTTCAAGTAATAAAATAGTTTTAATTAAATTTCTTTTCTCTTATTTTATCACATAAATTGTCTCATTGTAACACTATTGAAATTCCAGTTAGAATACTGTAATTTCAGTAATTAAGTTATAAACAATATGTTAAAATAAAATTATTAATGTATAATGGGCTTCCTCGTCTAGCATATTTACTTGTTATGATCGTCTTCTGTTTTTATATAATAGTTAATCTAATATATGGTTGTTTATAAGCACACAAGTATATTAATTAATATTTACTATTTCTTTTTAATTTTTCAAATAGGCTCAAATTGGAACAGGAACTGATCAATCATCAGAAGAGGTTGTTTTAAAAATTGCTAATGACATTCTTATAAAATTACCAAATAATTTTGATATTCATTTGGCTTTACTGAAGTATCCTGTAAGTTATGAACAGAGCATGAATACAGTTCTAGTTCAGGAAATGGAAAAATTTAATGTGCTGCTAAGTGTAATTAGAGATTCATTAATTGAAGTTCAGAAAGCTATTAAAGTATGTTGCTAAACTTAATATTTATAATAAGTTATGTACTTAAATAACTACTTTATTTTTTTTGTTCATTTTATATTTGCAATATTTCTTAAATTTTATTGTTTTCTTGAAGTATCAAAATTTATTATTGCATTGAAGAAGTAAATATTTATACTACTAGGTATTGTAGTCGTTGGGCTTCAATTTTCTAATTGCAGACCTATAAATTCCCACTGCGTCCGTCTGTCTGTCTATCCTTCCTTAATCTCGATAACGAAGTTAGATAGATAAAAGTTGAGACTAGATATAGAGTGTTTAGGGGCAGGAGAGACAGATTAACTATGTATGAAGTTTCGGTCTAGACCGGAAGTAGTGTGATTTCAATTCAAAAATTTCTCTAGAATGGAGTTAGATAAATGACCATCATTACTCAATTGTTTTCAGGAAAAGTATGATGTACAGTAGTAAGACATTATATATAATAATAGTTTATAGTTTACACATATATAACATAAGTGTTTACTTTATAAAAGTGGACATGATCTATAGTCTATTCTGAAAAATTTCGCTGGTTTTCTTGATTATATGCATTGTATTTTCATTTAAAAACATGTTAATAGATTAGAAAAATTTGCATTTGTTTTTGAAATAAATCGTCTTAATAAACGGTATATTTCGGTTAAAACATCAAATTAACTATCACCATACACATAAAGAAAATTATATAGGCTAATTTATTAATAAAGAAATCTGTTGTAGCTGAATTTTCTATCTGGGCTTAGCTCAAATAAACAAAACGATCTATTTTAATTACTATAATATTACTTATATTATTAATTTGCAAATCATGCAAACAACTCGATGTATACAATGTCCGGATACAGATTTCTTATGGTGTTCTTGAATACTGAGGGAAAAAAACATTACAAAATTATATTTCCTTATTCTCAATTATAGAATTTTCAGTAGATTTAGTATTTTTAGACATTGAAAAACGGCTATTAAACGGAAATGGTAGTGAAAATATAAAAGTAATATGAGTTTTTTTTTTCAGATTTATTGATTATCGGTTAAAGTTTATTTGTTTGAAAAATGTCATATAAAAGAAGTGAAATAAATCATTTTAGAAGGAAGAAGCTTCGAGTACAGTGTTCTGACATTTTGAAAAACTTTTGCTGGATATAAATTAAAGATTAAACAATTATATATCTTATAATTAATTTTTAGTAAGTTGATGAATGGCGGATACAGAACTATAAAGTTCTGTATCCATTCATCAACTTGCTGTTGTAGTAAAGTGAATTCTTTGAGAAGTTATAAAAAAATTCATTGGTCGAAAAGGATGATTTCAATACGTATTTAACTCGGTCCAATGTGTATTTTACATAAACGTACTTGAAAACTGATAAAATTCATTATGAAATTATTATAAATTTCCATTTTAAAATCATTGATTTATGTATTATTTTTAATTAATTAGAGTAACTTAAGTATTAAATTAATTGTAGTTTTGTCGAATACATTGCATAATTTTTACAGTACATTAAAGTTATAAAGTTATACAGTACATTAGTATAGTAATTACAGTTTACACAGTACTGTACATACTTTTTAAAATATCATACGGTTATTCTATTAAAAGATTCTAATAAATTATTTTCTTTTATAAATATTAAAATAATTTATTAATATTATCTCATTCGTCTTATCATCTTCTCATCTTATCCATTAATAATCTTATGTCATACTTGAATGATTCCTATTACTTCTTTGGCACTTATTAATACAAAAATAAATGTAATGTCTAACGTAAGATGAATCTGTCATTTGAATTCTGTCTGAATTTCTGTTGAATTGAATCTGTCATTTATCATGAATCTTTGAGAGTATCGATTAAATTACTAATTCATTTTTCTATGACATATGTAATTTTATTATTCGTCATTCTAGAATTTTATATGGTATTTTATTTTATTTTCATAGAATTATTTTAAAGAATGGAAATATTATATAATTTGACATAATCACTGTTTTATTCAAATTTAAAATATGCTGTTCTCTTAGTTAAGAGAATATTTTGAGTTTAAATAGTTTTAAATCTGTTTTACGGGAATTAAATCCTTTAAAATAGTAAATAGAATAATCATCCACTATCGACTCATTGTCTGATGATGAACGGATTGTTAGAAACAGATCTACCAAGGGGAAAGATGGGGATGTTTTTCTAGGCCTGGAGAAAGCTTAGGCACTCATGGTGGTTCATACCCCTACAAATTAATGTAATTTTAATAACAATGTAATCTTTAAGAATGCATTTTATTAATAAAAAAGTACTTTACTTATTTCATATGTTTAAAACATAGCAAAAGGGGTCTAGGGCTCTATAAAGGTTCTCGATGTTCCTGGTTAGAAAATTCTTCTGATGATAGTGTAAACATCTACATTTAAGTTTGTTTCTTATTATAAGTTTCTATATATTTATTCAAATATTTTTAACTCGTTACGTTCTATATCGAAGAGTTTCATCACAAATAATTATTTTAAAATTACCGATATGAAAGAAACATTAAAGCTTTTATTATCTTTAAAAGCGTCTCATAAAATTTATTATCTTACACATTTACTATTTTTCTGGTAATTTTATTTTATATTCGTTTTATTTTGCTGAAAATCTAATTTTAATTTCGAAAATATATTAAAATTTTAGCTACTTTTTAATTAGCGAAAAACATTCATTATGTTGTTAATTTTCGTTTGAGTTTTTTAATTATGTTTTTTTTTTTTACTTCGGATTATCTCTTTTATATTGCGTTGTTGAAAAGTTTATTAATTCTTCTTCTTCTCCTTCTTCTTTTTTTTTTGTAATTAACGTAAAGAAGTAATTGGAACAATGCCAGTAACCAATGTATATCGGAGCACACACATTATCGAAAGTCACGGGTCAATAAAATTTATTGCTGAGAAAAGAGTTATTTTTACATTTAAACATCAAAAGCGATTATATATAATCGTTTATATTGTATAATTGTAAATTTAATTAATTTTTGACCATAATTAATATCAATAATCACCGTAAGAATGATAAATATGAATGTCATCGTTGATTTGATTCTATATAAAGATGCCATAATGTAATTTTCCGATAATATCTTTTTTTTTTTTTAGTCTTTCTTTGGATCGATATTTTTAAAATATGACAATTCGAAAATGTCAAAAAATATTACATCTGGTAGCGTAATTATTATTTTCCTTTATTTTCTATAGAGATTTCTGTAATCGTCTTTAGAGCCTAACCGATGCTCTAGAGACGAATACACAGAAAAGTGCTATGTCAAATTTTGTTTATATCTGAAATCTTTATGTCAAATATGAACAAAATCCATATGAATCTTTTCTTTTTAAATTTCTAGTATTTTTCTTGTAAGTTTATTGATTACAAAAATACGATTTATTTTCATTTGTAATGGTGTTTTTCCTTTTTTTAAGAGTATTTTATTTTTAATAAATAGAATCGATTTGTTAAAAAAGTTGCAAAGGCTATTGAAAATATACTTTATGCAGATTATTATCGATGTAAATTCAATTTACAGTATTGCCTTCATTTTTCGAATTTTCTATCAATATCGAGTTACTTTTTAATGTTTAGCGCATCTTCGCTTATAAAGTATATTTTGCTCTTTATTCAGGAGGCATGTTGCAGATAGAACATTAGGAACATAAAAAATAATTACATATTAACTATTAAAGAAGTTAGGAGAACATGACTAGAACTTACTGTAGCTATTAAAGCATCCTTAAAATTCTTAAAATGTTATTTTAAAGTAGTTTAAAGTAAAATTTTCAATTTGATTATTCAACACTTTATACATATTTAAAGGCTAAAAACTAAACCTCAACATTAATTTCTGAGTAATAATTGGTATTACATTCTTAAAAATAGCTCAATTCCATCTGAAGAATTTAGATTTTAGAATTTCTCGAAATACTTTTAATTATTAAAGATTTTTAGAGAGTTGGTCTTAAATAAAGGAACCTGAATTTTTTATATTAGTTCTTTTGAATGTTGAAAGATCCATGATTGGTAAGATGAGGCAACGCTGCACGTGGGCGAAGGAGGTGCCTCTAGGGAGGTTTTCCATGAAAAACTGGCCTCTGTATGTTAGACACGAAGAAAACTCGGAAACTATCTGGCCAACTTGTTGGTCAGGGCGTCCCCATGACCAACGGACCAACTACCAGTGTTATCCACTCGGTTAATGGTGCGCCTGATGTAATAGAGTAGTGTTTTCGGCACAAACAGTGAATTAATATATTCACTGTTCGTGCCGAAAATACTATGTTAAGTGGAGAAGTAATTACTATGAGATATCCAGTTAGAGTGACATATCTCTCTTTGTAGATAAAGCTAATTATCAGTTCCAAATTTAGATTGAACCTGTTTTTCGAATTGATTTATAAATGTTATTCTGTTCACGTCATCGTATTTTTACTCATTGCAAGGTGTCAGCTAACATAAATAAAGGATACAGAACGAAATAGTAACCAAAACTACCAAAAACTTCAGGGTCGATCGTAGGTAAAGATCGAAATTGAACTTAATTTAATTTGGTTACAGAAGTAGAAGAATTCTTTTCGGTTTTATCAAATAGATTCTCTCTGTTGAAATTTATAATATCAATATTGACTTACATTTTGATAATTTACATAACCACAAAAAAAGCTAAGTCAAATACTATTAATTCTATTTTTATTATCTTGCTAACCTATTTTAACTTATTCAATTGAAGAAATTTTATGTATGGAAGGTTACTTTACAAATATATATTGTAAATATTAGCTTCTTGTAGCTGTTTTGTGATATGTTTAATTCATTGTAAGTATGATAATCTAATGCTTTAATAATTGTAATATTTAATAGAATAAATTAAGAATAGGCGGCTTTTTTCCTGTTTATTCGTAAGATAATATTAAGTCTGAATTAATTAAGAAAACGAAAAGAAAAGAAATAATGTAATTGTTTG